GTTGCCATACGGAGGCATCAGTGTTTCACAAACACATCTTGTTGCCTATATGGAATATACGCCATTGACGAAATTTGAGTATAATATGACGTTACGTAAAAAAGTTATGACAGAAGTCCACGAACTTTCCGAAAAGTCCTCGTATTTATAAGTAAACGTGTTTGACAATTAACCTGTGTTCATATTTATACCAGGTTTTCATATAATTAGTGTAACTCAGATGGTGAGTTCACTGTTCGTTGGCTCTCATTATCAATGTAACTATTTAGAGACAGGGTTCGAACCCACATGGTACCTCACGTTTACTGCTTTAAAATCCTCTCCTTTTTAAAAACTACTTTATTTTTTCTAGAGACGTGTATTTTCCTTGAAATGGATGTTCGTTGATATAAAAGGTATTGATTAAAAGGAATGCAAATCGTAAATGTATTGTAAATAAATCGAAATTATATGTCAGTTTAGCACACCTTATGTTCAAGGATAGGCAACTTCCCAAAAAACTCTGACAAGCAAATAAAAAAAACCGTTATTTACCGTCCAACCGACCTTACTGCAAGGAAAATTGGGGGGGGGGGGGCAACCAGCAGATAAAGGATAGTATTGCAAAATACTATGCTCAGAAAAAGCCCCCACCCCCACCCCCATCCCCCGCGTTCTACGGGCCTGTTGTATACATACTTCTGAGTAATTTGATACCTGAAATTAAAAATCATTCAATGTATAAGTAATTATGCTTTTATTCTGTATGTACTTCCAGTGCTTTTCTGGGTTATTAAGCTGGAAAGTGTACTTTGTACATTGAAACCTGACTAATCAGACATTTATACTGGAAATTTTGTCACGTTGTAAAATATAAAGAACATGGGAATTAATATAAAATAGGACTGTAGGAATAGAAATAAAGGTTGGAAACTTGGAATTCACCGTGAATTGGATCGATCAGTTGATTCGATACGCAAGAGCATGCTCTAAGTATAAAGAATTTTTAAAACGAGGTAAGTTATTGACAAACAAGTTGATGAAACAAGAAAACAGTCTCGTTTAAAGTCATCATTTGGTAAGTTCTATTGTCGACACATGACCTTGTCAGCAAAACAATCTGTAATCATCATATGCTGATTGACGTTTTTCAGACCAATTGTGAGGCCATCTCGAGCGCTAGCATAAGTCTTTTTTACTGGAATACGCCTGCTCGAATTCATGATAGAGCATTCTGGGAATAAATAAACTGTACCGTGTCAGTTTCGTTTTATCATCTCTCGAAAATACAAATGATCTAAAGTTTCGTGTTTTGTTATCTTACCTGTACAGAAATGAACAAAAAAAAAGTAACAGTAACTTATGCCCTATTTTGCCAAGACTGTAAAGATCAGAGATAATTTTCGAAAATTATAAGTATAAAAACTTAACCTGTTAACTTCCTGATCTCATTCAACTCGGTCGTCTCCGCAAACCGACGACGAGCTCGAAGACTTGCTGAGAGAGCCGAGCGTCTGGTAGAACGACTTCTACCTTCCCGGATCTTTCCAGCAATTAATTAAGGTCGCAAATGACTTTCTGAATCGCCGGAAAGGCCCTAAAGAGGCCACTCGGAGATCCTCGGGTGGCTCGTTCCTCGCACATTGGTGAACTTTTTTGCAGTGCGAAATATGAAATGAGTTAAACAGTTAAACTGTTAAAAGGCAGTTCAGGCGGAGAAATGCATCGATTTGATGGATTATTATACCAGCATCACATCCGAGGTTTGTATTGAGCGTAGCGGAGTCAAACGAGGATTGTTGATTGAGAAGATGCAGTTACTACAAACATAGACCTGAAGCTTTAGGTCTATGCTACAAATGAGTAGGTCACACTGGAATATTTCATACCATGTGCTCGTTGGTTCTACCAATCTTTTAAACGATTGTATTTTCACCTCAAAATTTAAAACAAGAGATGTTTGTGAAACGCTTACCCCCCCCCCCCCCCCCCCAATAATTGTAATTTTTTTCTAAGTCCAAGGGACATAACTCTGTCAAAAATTGCTTGATCGTATCCAAAACAGAACTTGACCACGATATTTTTATGATAAATCTGTACACCAAATTTCATTTCAGTATGTGCAATCTCTGCGAAGAAATTGAACGGAAACTGTTGATGGACCGACAGACAGACAGACCGACCGACAGACAGCAGCAAAGCAATATGCCCTCCCTTCTTCGAAAGGGGGGAGGAGGGGCATAATAAAGTGAACTACAGAATACGTTTAAAAGCACAGTGTACCACTGTGTCCATCTATTATAATCATAAATCGATTCAGCAAAATAAACCAACGGTCTATGTTTTACTGTTTTATAATGGTTTACTGTGCTGGCTAACCTTAATTTTGCACTATGGCTATGCTGTTATGTTTATGATAAGTTATATTCATGGAAGGCGGAACCTTTAACACCGTGATGTTGCGATGTATATTTTTATGAGTCATAAATGATTCATAATTTTAATGGAATAATCAAAATTGTAAAATAATGAAACTTGTAATTTTCTGAAAGTTTTTCTGAAAGTTTATACATTTATGTGTAGTAAAAAAATTCCAAATCCTATCGGAATATTTTTTTATGAGATACGCTGTACTGTCCCTTTATTACATTACCATGTGGTATCGAGGATTTGACTATTAATACTGCAACAAAAAATGGGGTAAGTGCAACCGCCCTCTCATTGAGCAGAACGCCCCTCTCCCCGATACAACGTGCCTGAAGTGCGTTGGTGATTTAGACTTGAGGTATTTCCACCCTCACAAATTTATGGGTTCAAAGTAGAAAAACTGCATTTATTTTCACTGAATATAGATTAAATTAATTAATAAGAGCAAAAAAAAAGTATAGGTTGCCATATTTTTTTAATATGTAAGACATATATAAACAGAAGTATATGTCAGCATAAAAAAAATGTACATTTTTAGCAAACAGTATTATAAAAATTGTGTAAAAACTAGTTCAAATACATAATTCTGATGCTGAACGTTCCAAAATAATCGTTTACTAGTATTTACAAATATAGTTGAACTGTGAATATCAGGGAAACTATTTTACATTAAAAGTACAATTAAAAAAAAATGCCTGAATGAAAATACATCAGAAGGAGTTATTACCCTTATCAACATTCTTTAAAGATTGAATAATTGACAGCTGCTTTTTCAATAAAAAGGAACTCGTAGATTTACTTACCTTGTCATTGGTCATTTGCAAAATTACTTTGTTAAAAAACAATCTGATTGTACACACAAGTACTCTGAAGTTGACATTAAAAAGATGCTCGAGTTTCTGATTGACAAAATCTATGTGGTTTTTGGAGACCAAGTCTTCCAACAATCTATTGGAATTCCCATGGGTACCAAGTGCGCCCTGTTATTAGCAGACCTATTTTTGTATTCATATGAAGCAGAATTTGTTCAAAATCTTTTACGTGAAAAGAAGAAAACACTTGCTGTGGCCTTCAACTCGACATTTAGATATATCGACGACGTATTGTCAATTAACAATGGTTATTTCCATTCTTATGTCGAAACGATATATCCTGGTGAGCTTGAGATAAAAGATACCACAGAGTCTGACACATCTGTTTCATATTTGGATATTTTATTAGAAAAAGACGTTAATGGTAATCTAACAAGAAAGCTTTATGATAAACGTAATGACTTTAACTTTTCAATTGTCAACTTCCCTTACTTATGCAGCAATATACCTTCATCACCTGCATACGGGGTATATATCTCTCAGTTGATTCGATACGCAAGAGCATGCTCTTCGTATGAACAATTTCTAAAACGAGGTAAATTATTGACAAACAAGTTGATGAAACAAGAATATCAGCAATCTCGTTTAAAGTCATCATTTCGTAAGTTCTGTGGTCGATACAATGACCCTGTAAGCAAATACAATCATTAAGTCAAATGCTGACTGACTTTTTTCATACTAATTGTTAGCATATTATTTACACACTGAATTGTCGACGGATTTTTCCGTTATTTCCCGATCATGACAAGGAGCACACGGCGGATGTGACCGGTCGGCAGGGGATGCTCACTCCTCTATGGCACCTGATCCCACCTCTTAGAGGTCCGTGTTTGCTCTGCTTCTATTTAGTAATGTTTGATGGATTTTTGAGCTCGAGTACTGTTCGTTATCTCCACATATTTCATTGATTAAATAAAGAAAACATTCAATTTTTTAATTCTTTTACTATAACCGATATTTTTCATTACGCATATTGAAAAGCATTTTTCAAAAAGATATATTTCTAATGTGTATGAATTCAAATTAATAACTTTTTTTCTTCCAAAAACCTAATATGGCATCACAGGAGGGTGGAAATATCTTTACAAACCAAGACACGATTTTCATTCTTAACTAAATATGGTATTCTAGAGGAAACTTGACATTTACAAGAACAGGCCACCTTGTGATGATGATTATTATAGGAGAAATTAAAAAAAAATGATTATCTGATGACACGTATGTATACAGTATAAATATCAAAAATATTTTTCACAAAGATCTCGTTATTACGAGAATAGATTTCGTATCTACGAGATTACGTGATGGGGGGGGGGGGGGCTTGACCACAAAAGACCTGTGTCTGGAAAGGACAAACAGTAATAGTTTATGTTAGAAAATCCCGCGTACCAAATAATCTTTGAAATTTGACAAATTTTAATGATGCGTCTGAATGCCCCCCCTCCCCCCCCCCTTTTGGAATAATTTGGATCACATGGTCTGGGTGAAAAAATGTCCAAGTGACGAAATGTGTGTAAGATCAATCATTAGTTTCGAACTTATTGCATCACGGTTTTAAAAATGAAGAATAATCACAGTTTTTAAGTAAAAGTTATTATTAATGATATGTGAAATATTTTTCATGATTTACTCTTTCATTTATTTACATGTTTGTGCGAAAAGAAAAAAAATCACCTGGATATACGAAACTAATTACTAAATATTTTGACATCAACGGACGAAATCATCATTCGAACAGATACACATCACACGAAGAAAAAGAACTTTCCTGATATGAAAACAAAGCCCAGAAATCTTTAAATATGTTTAGTAAGAATTCCTTTATTTTTTTATACCGTTTGAGTGAAAAGTATCTTGTAGGGTGCCACGGATCAAGGGAGAATTGTGCATGTAAACAGTGATGAACTTTCGATATTTGCAGGTTGTAAATAAGCTGGTCATCGACAAATCGTTCTATTCAAACTATTATCGCGTATATCATTGGACAAAGGGATATGTGATTATATCCTGTAGTGTCATTTTAATTACAACATGAGTTTTTATGATCTTAGAAGTGTATAATTTAATTCACATGTTCGCACAAGAAAGGAAATTGCGTATCCCTGTAAACAGGTCCAGTACAATCTCTTGATTTAGCTATAGGGTGAATTCACCATGCATCGGACACCCTTGCACTTCAACAAGTTCTAGCGATATCGCTACTGACCGAATATTATCAAAATGGAACTTAACATGTAGTATGTGCGTTAAAATATAAATTTTTGACACAATCGTGTTATCTTTATTAAGAAAATATCATTAAAACCCGATTTTTTCGAAATAAGTCAGAATTCACCATGGATCAGACAATATTCACCATGCATCGGACATAAGATATTTAAATTAGAAAAATATCACATCTTGATCTCGGTGCTTTAAAACTAGTGATATCGAAACATTTTTATCTTTTATTAAAAAATTAAACTTCTAGTTAAATTTGAATGACTATTTCGATCCACAAATGTGAAGAAATATTAGGTGCATCACATTGCCTTAGAAAGGCTTTACAATGCAAGTAATATGGCAACTTGCACCTTTGTCTCGTGGGATATCATCATCTAGTTTAAAGAAATGAATTGGGTCTACTTTTAGTCATCATATATCGATATCTTGTTGTCATGAAGTTCTTTTGGATTTTGTGCAGGCAGTAGAGAAAACGATAAGCCGTAGAATAAACAAAACAAATTAAATTTATTAAATAAAAAAAAAAATAGAAAATTTCAAAACAAACACACTGTCGCGCACACTCTCTCACAAAGAAACAAATTATAACTTTAAATTGCAAACCAAATAATATTGACAATGAAATAAAGATTTAACTTTAAACACAATCAATTGTCAATAAAACAGATATTGGTTTCAAAACATAAACTCTAACTTTAACTGGAAACAATCAAATAATAAAGTTCAACACTGTATTAAGTTTCCGCAGAAAAAAATTCACTTTTAATTAAACAATAACAGTAAATATAAATTCAGTTAAATGTCAAAATGTAATTCTTATCAACGTTTTATTTCTTTAGACTGAATTGGAAGTTTGGCTTTTTGCTGTTCAATACCGTATAAAAACTGTTACATTAAACTTCACACCACTGAGCCTCCATACAACGAACACTCCGCCCATTTGATTCCAGCCCTGGACTCACAGGTCTCCCACTGGACAACTTGAGAATTTACTCGTCATTATACTGCCGTGAACCATCACCAATGCTCTATATGCACTGTCCATGTACACCACGCCCTGTGTCACCAACTTGTTTTGGCCCCCGTCTCGACACACGACCCAAACTCCCTCGTGAGGTCCTAAACCTACTTCAGTCCCAGGTTTATAATCATAACCCCTCCGCACTGAAACAATAATTACCTTATCTAAAACCTATACCCTACTCACTTAAACTACAAATAGTAATAACAAACAATACACCCATAAAGTTAGAACAAAACCCACAAATATATACACAAAAGAAAATTATAGCTTACCGGCTGGAGAAATAAATGCCCATGTAGTAAAATTACCGACTCCTTGGCTACCCGTTTACCAGACTAACTTCTGGAATTCGCCATGGAATATCGACTACAGGACAAAATCAAAACGTGGCCGCACACTTGACAAACAGCCACGGCTCTCTCTGACCAAACCGGTTACACTAAAAATAGCCTATTTACGAACACTCTCAACTACGGAACCAAAATAGGGATATAATTACAACTATTTACACATAAAACAACAAAACTGATAAGCAACATAATTCAACTTCATCACACTTGTATTTTCACTTAAAATTTAGAGTTTTTATTTTCTATTTCTTTAAAAAAACAGCTGTCATTTGGATTTTATATGAAAATGGGAGTGATTACCCATGCATCGGAAAGTGTCCGATGCATGGTTAATTTGTGTCCGATGTATGGTGAAATAAACATATTAGAAAAAAACAACTCTAAAAATTATTATACAAACATTGAAGTAACATTTTTGAAAAATTTCTGTAAAATTATCAATCATTGACAAATTTTACCTAGGTCCGACTCGTTCCGTTGAAGTCTATTTAAAAGAGCGACAACTCTAAAAATTGCAAAATCGTAAAATTCTGGTTACTCCCCTTTGATGATGCAAAATATGACGTAATTTCAAGGCCATTCTTGTGGTATTTTTATCACAACGTGGAAATAAAAATCAGCATCATTAAAAAGTTAAAATCTTCACCTTAAAGACAGAAACAAGTAAAAACACGGGGAGACTCAGGTTCAATGAAAGTTTATTGCTTAAAGTTGTCCGAAGCAAGGTATGTGTCTGATGTATGGTTAACTCACCCTATAGCTTGAAATAGCTATATAGTTTTATTAAGCTATGCAAAATAGCTTGATTTAGCTATTTATATGCAGTTTTTCACAAAAATGTTTTTTGTAAGAAACAAAAAGTCGCAAGTATTTGATTATTCATATATGTACTGTGGGCTATCAAAACAACAACCAAAACCAAATATAGTTATAACATTGCAGCTTTTGAATACTTTTAAGCATAAGATGAATTTCCATTGTTTGAGTAACTGTAAACTACATGTACCTTGTTTGTGTTCAGGCATGGATAAGTATGATTGCTTCTCATTGTACTGAATTATTACCAATCAATTATCTTGTTGACCATAGTTGGCCTTCTTTATAATTTCATTGAAGAAGTAACCGTGTGGTCACAAACCAATTGCCCCAAAACTTTTAGAACTTTGAGTACAAAGTCTCTCAAGGAGACGCAATCTGATGAGTGATTTTTACATGCATTATTTTCAGAAGAGTGCAAGGTTGAATATTATTTCCGCACCAAGGTGCGACTTTTTGTACATGTTGAAAAAATAACACATTTAAGAAAAAAAAAGTGTGATAAAATAGCTAAATCAAGCTATTCTGAATAGCTTAGTAAAGCTATATACATGTAGGTAAATCAAGCTATATAGCTAAATCAAGAGATTGTACTGGACCTGGTAAACATGTGATACTCATTCAGCAACTTCTTAAAGGTAGGGAATAAGCACCTCCTTCAAATTTACCTGCTCTAGGGACACCCGTCAATAAAACCAATTAAGGTCTAGGATTGGGTGCCAGAAATTGATTGATATTTAGTTCCTAGTCTGTGTGTATACCTTGTATATCTCTAGGAACCTTGTCTGGGGCTTGTGTCGATCATCAACTTTTGATGATTAACATACATATACCATAGTAGATCTTCATATCTCCCTCACTATTATGCAATAAATATATGTTTACTCATAACTTCATAATCTTTCAATTATATGCACAAAATACATTAATACATGTACTCGATAAGTTGATCATAATTTTTCATTGTTAAACATGGTGAGACAATCCAGTGTTATGTGTAAGGAAACTGAGTAAACCTTCATATTATTCATCATACACATGTACATCACTTAGTGACTTACAATGTAACTTTTTAGGTCACCTGAGTCACTCAGGTGACCTATTGCTATCTGTTTTTGTCCGTCGTCGTGCGGGTGTGCGTCGTGCGTAAACTTTTCACATTTTCGACTTCTTCTCAAGAACCACTGGGCCAATTTTCACCAAACTTGCCACAAACTGTCCTTGGGTAAAGATGATTCAAGTTTGTGGAAATGAAGGGCCACGCCTTCTTCCAAGGGGAGATAATTAAGAATTAGTGAAAAATTAATTGTATCTTTTAAAAATCTTCTTCTCAAGAACCACTGGACCAGATAAGATGAAATTTGTATGGAAACATCCTCAGGTAGTGTAGACTCTAGTTTGTTCAAATCATAACCCCTGGGGATAGGGTGGGGCCACAATGGAGGATCAAAGTTTTACATAGAAATATATAGGAAAAATCTTTTAATAAAAATCTTCTCAAGAACAGCAAAGCCTTGATGAGTCATATTTATATGGAAGCATCCTCAGGTAGTGTAGATTCAAGTTTGTTCAAATGATGACCCGGGGGTAGGGCAGGGCCACAATGGAGGATCAAAGTTTTACATAGAAATATATAGGAAAAATCTTCTTCTCAAGAACAGCAAAGCCATGATGAGTCATATTGATATGGAAGCATCCTCACGTAGTGTAGATTCAAGTTTGTTAAAATGATGACCCCGGGGGTAGGGTTGGGCCACAATGGGGGATCGAAAATTTTACATAGGAACATATAGGAAAATATCTTCTTCTCAAGAACTGAAAATCATGTTTATTCATTTTGATATGAAAGCATCCTCAGGTAGTGTAAATTTAGTTTTGTTCAAATGATGACCCTGTGGGGTAGGGTGGGGCCCAATGGGGGGGGGTGGAAAGTTTTACATAAGAATATATAGAAAAAATATTTCTCAAGAACAGAAAAGCTATGTTTAGTCATATTGATATGGAAGCATCCTCAGGTAGTGTAGATTCAAGTTTGTTCAAATGATGACCCGTGGGATAGGGAGGAGCCACAATGGGGGATCAAATTTTTACAAAGGAATATATGGGAAAATTTTCTTTTAAATCGTCTCAAGTACAACAAAGCTATTTGTTATATTGACATGGAAGCATCATCAGGTAGTTGAAAATTCAAGCCCCCTCCCTCCCCCCCCCCCCCAAGCTAATCTTTTCAATACTGAACTGATTTGTGCTTTTGCCTAGCATTTGTGCTCAGGTGAGTGATGTGGCCCATGGGCCTCTTGTTTGTTACTGCTTTTGCAAAAGTGCTTGGACATTAAATCTCATTCATTTGTCCATCAAACTGTCACAAAAATTTTAACCTTGGTCAAACTCTTTATTGAGAGAAGATAGGGCATTCATATTTCACATGCATTGTCTACCTGATCAATACATAGGGCTCATGGCAAGTGTGACTGGTCAACAGGGGATGCTTACTCCTCCTGGGCACCTAAGCCCATCTCTGGAATTTCCAGAGTTCCATTTTTTATGCCCTGTTCACAATGCATAGGTGATTTATCAATGGATGCATATATTTAGTACCAGAACATGCATTTTGTCTGAGACTGTCATTTCTGTCTGAGGTGAGCTTCATAATCTGGAACACAAAAATGAATTGAGTAATATATAAAGTTCTAGGGCTGAAACTATACGCACCACGATACTTGTGTCACAATTCAATTTCTTCAATTCAGTACATTTTAAAACAGAAACAAATCGTAAGGTTAAAGAAAACATGTATTCAGATTTCAAAAGACAAGTAAAAGGTGGTGATACAATAAAGAGCACTACTTGTGCTTCTGTAGATTAAAAGAACACTTTGTTCGTGTCAATACTAGCAGTGGCAGCCTGCTCTGAAACTTTTTCCGTCGCAATTTTCTCCCTCGTGTGTGTCAAACTATTAAAACGAAGTTGAACCCGATCTATTTCAAGGAGTAACCAAACCTGATTATGAAAAACGTACCGAACCAAAAATCGAGATAGTGAATTGAACATTGAACCGAGCAGTAATATTGAACAGTATCGATATTTCGGTGAATCGTTTCAGTCCTATAAAGTTCTGTGATGCAGGTAAATAGTAATTGTAAATTTAACTGGCATGGATGAATCACAAAGATTTAAAATTATGCACTTTTCCCACTTGTTGAACTCGATAATAACAATTTGCATACATGTATATCGGTATATTTCTTATCATCTGTAACAGTGTTATATACATGAAGAAAGGGTTATTGGGAAGGAGGAGGGGGTATAAATAACTATTTCTGCTCTTATGAAATAGTACTTTATTCTTCGAATTATTTATCTCTGAAATATAAGTAATAAAAGTACTGATAATTAAGATGTTTTCTTAATTTAGGCAAACCTAGAAGCTGCACGTTCAGATCTCCCTGTATGAGCAGTACCAGTAGGGAGGAGAAGACGCTGGATGTGGAGGTGTTTCGTCATATTCAGAACAGACAATATGGCGGGAAACACCTTTATCTTAACCAAGAGAAGCTGATGTTGCCTTTTGTCTCTCAGCATGTACCACCATTACTGGCAGAAAAGGAATATGAAATGGGGAAAATTAATAAGATCTTTGCCTCTCATTGGCTTGATGATAGACAAGTTGCCATTGGAACTAAGTGCAACAAAGTATACATGATGAACTTTGAATAACTATATTTTAACAAAAAATGTTTTATAATCTGCTTGTATGCAATTGCATGTAATTTACTTTTATGTGTAAATCAGTTAATTGTCTTTATGCTTCATTAGTGATAGAATTTACTTTATATATATTTGATATTGTAAAGTACTTATGATAAAATTATGTATTTCAGCTGATCATAATGGACACCAAAACTGGTAAGCAGTTTAATATTCCATCATTGAAAAGCAGTAAAAACAGTATTCCTGCTGAATGCCCATGTGGAATCCACAGTATTGCCTTAAATCCTTCCCAGACCCTGTGTGCCACAGGGGCAGAGAATACAAATGACCTTGCTGTGTACCAGCTACCGACCTTTGACCCTGTCATGGTGGGAGAGGTGGGTGTTTCTTTACCAAATCATTTTAGAGCTTAGCAATGTCAGCTGTCACTCTGCGTTCTTTGCTTAGATTTTATTTATGATTTTTTGTGATCTTATTGTTAACATTTAGATTCAGTTTAATGCCTCTAATATTTAGCTTAGATTGTAATGAGATATTGAAATTGTGTTAAAAATCATGTGCTTAGTTTGTAACCTTTAACAGAATTGATTGTAGTGTACTGACCTAAAGGTATGTCATGATCTGAATTCAAGTATCTGTCATAGAAGTAAGGTCAAGAAAATATTTTTAGTACTCTGTCAAAAAGAGCTTTTTATTTCAAATCCTTCAATGAATGTACTGACACTTATTGATAATAGTACATGTGTAGTATTTTTTTTATTCATGACCTAAAGATCAACAAAATCTTTATTCAACGTCACATCATCAAGATTGCTAGTTCTCAAGAGATGTAAATTGAATGAGTAGTGTTGAGGAAGGTAGATTAATATATTTTTTAATTGAAATGGGAGAGGAGGAGGGGGGATTATCATTGTATTTAAAGAATTGTTGAAGAAGCATATTGATACTAATAGGAAATAATACAAAACACTGATGCAAAATAATTAGAAAATAATAGATGACATAAATGTTATATTTCTTTCTTCTTCAGAATGGTCACTGTGACTGGATATTTGATATCACATGGATTGATGATGAATATTTAGTAACAGGTTTTTTCTTTACTAATTTTTTATTATCTCTATACCATGTTTACATTGAACAAATCATTCAGGCATGGTTTGATGCTGAAGACATAAAACTTTTTAACTTTATCTTAGGGGTCAAAAGAATTAAGAAATTTTAAATGGTTGCTAAATATAGAGGACAGGCAAAATTTATCATTGGAACAAATGTTTCCTTTTTTTTTATATTATGGACATAATTAGAAATGCATGTACTATCTTGTGTTATAACAGGGTCTAGGGATAGCAAGCTGGCCTTGTGGAGGGTAGAGACAGCTGACACCGATTCTGATGATAATGAACCATCAAGCAGTACTGGTATACATATGCCAGATTATGCCATCACTAAACCAGTGATATCCAGGTTATGTGAAAAGGCTCAGAAAGTTAGAGCCCTAGCCTATCACGACGAGAGAAAGGCAAGAGCTTACAATTTTTATAACTGGTATTTTCTTAAAACAACACAACAACAGTATTTTTCTGACATCATGGAATCTTCTGTTATAGGAACTTGCTGTTTTATCACTAAATGGATGCTTTCATTTGTGGGATGTGGAAAATTTTAATGCTGTAAGTACTGCAAATAATATAGAAATCAGATCTGAAGTCTTTATGTACATGTCTGCTTTATTTATCTGTGCCAAAGCAATATCTGGAATTTAAAATTTTTGATATGTTAATTTTAAACTTTCAGAGAATTCACCGATGTCTGATACACTCACGTGAGAATGTGTGTATGGCGGTGTCTAAGAAATATTGTAGTTATGCCGTAGGATCACAGTCCCATATTGATATACTAGACCCTCGATGTCCCAACACACAGACATCAATCTTGTCCAAGTATCGAGGCAGTGGTACGTTTGTCATCATTTCTATAAACTAACAATGCTTATGTCTCTTTTTCACGTTATATCTTTTAATGATTGAGAACTGAATTATAATAGTGCTCTCAAAAGTTGAACCAAAGTATGAATATCTAAAATGTAAGTTAACTTTCAGAACAAAATATAAGAACACTGTTCATGTATGAATCAATGCATTTTATTCATGTTGGAAAAGGAGTGTGGATATGTGTTTGTATCAGAACTTGGATACATGTACATTTATGAAACAATTTTGTCCATTTTCTCTCATTTTTGCTAGCTAAGTGCTATTGAGCTTGCCCTTGGTCTATCATGCATTTTAAGTCAGTTTTATTTTTAGCTCAAATATTTACTGATGATGTCCTCAATCTTTTTTACAGGTGTACAGTCCCTGAGTTTTACTGATGATGTCTTCAATCTTTTTTACAGGTGTACAGTCCCTGAGTTTTACTGATGATGTCCTCAATCTTTTTTACAGGTGTACAGTCCCTGAGTTTTACTGATGATGTCCTCAAATTTTTTACAGGTGTAATGCCCCCAAGTTTTACTGATGATGTCCTCAAATTTTTTACAGGTGTATGGTCCCTGAGTTTTACTGATGATGTCCACAATTGTTTTTACAGGTGTATGGTCCCTGAGTTTTACTGATGATGTCCACAATTGTTTTTACAGGTGTACGTTCCCTGAGTTTTACTGATGATGTCCTCAATTTTTTACAGGTGTAATGCCCCTGAGTTTTACTGATGATGTCCTCAAATTTTTTACAGGTGTACGGTCCCTGAGTTTTACTGACGATGTCCACAAATTTTTTACAGGTGTACGTTCCCTGAGTTTTACTGATGATGTCCTGACAATTGGAACTGGAGTGGGGGTGGTCCTATTCTTTGATGTCAGGGCTGGGCGGTACCTGGAGAGTGATTGTGGACATGCATGTTCTCTAATGGCAGGAAGTGGCTGGCTGGTAAGCCCTCATACAATTATCACACTTCTCATTAAATCTTCCCATGCTGCAATTCTGAATATTTGAAAACCCCATTCTCAAGAGACATCAAGAAAACAATACCGGGTAATTTGTTATCAGTACTTGTAACAGTAGCCATGACTTTGCTTCATGACCTTCCATCTGAGGTCTTTATCAGATAAACCTGTGATCCACATGTAAACTAATTAATTATATGAAAGTTGTAAGGTAGGATGTTATATTGGCATGTATCATCCATGGCTAATGGTACATGTATCTAACCAAGTCTTCTTAACAATTTGGGATTTGGTTATATAACAGACTTGAATCTACACTATACATGTACAAAAAGTTTTTATGTATATTTCATCTTTTCTGGAGCAATTATTATTAATTAAAAAGGAATGACACCATCCTATTTTTCACTTTTTCCTGGCTATCTCTCTTTGTAATTGGACATGGCAATTTATTCAAGCATTTTAATTTCATAATCTGAAGATGCATTTTGTTTGCTTGTATTGCTGGATAGTTTGTGAGAAATCAAGATCAGAAACCAAAGAGTGAAAAGCTCACCTAAAACTGTTATAAATGAATGTGGTAATTTATCAATGCATTGTTTGAAGAATTGCAGATTTCTAAGACAATGCATACAAAGTTCTTATCTGTAGTACAGATTTATTATTCATTGTGATATACAGGAAAATGTTTAAATAAAATAAAGTTACTGACTGTTTCTATTAACATCTTTTCACAGCGTCATGATGAAACTTACCGGGACTTTTTTTGGGAGGCGGAATATCCAAGTGCTATTTATACTCATCGTTACAACAGTACTGGAACTCATTTATTCACGGCTGGAGGTCCACTCCCAGCTGGTCTGTGGGGAAATTATGCTGGACTCTGGCAGTAGAATAAACATAGTTGAAGACCAACATTTAATATCCCATTTATTATATGATCTGTTAGGATTCTTACCTTAATTTTTTTTCTGTATTAGAGATTTTAAGGGAATCCAGATTTAATTAAACCTAGTTTCTTATTAGATAAAAATCTGATAATGTGATGTAAAGGCTTTTGTTGTGTGCTTGAGTGTTGGATGTATGCTGCAGATATAAGAATGAAATAACTGTTAACAATATTGTCATCAGTTTCATGGTGAAATGATGTACTGTATGTTTTATTATTACATGTACCATGTTATGAAGTTAAACAATAATAAAATTAACTAATTACCGTTGTATGTATTGTGATGTCTAAACTGAAATATAAACTTTGTACACTGTGACTTGACAGAGTACAACTTAGTTTGTACAAAATGAACATGCATGTATATTCATATGTACAGGAAAGGTGGTTGTGTTCTTACAGTGAAATACATTGAACAGATACTGTAAATCACTTATTTTTATGGGGTAGGTTTCTTGGTTTGAAGAAAAAAAAAGATGTACATGTATATGTGAGATTTGATTTGGTGGATAAAGAAGTGTTAAAAAACAAACAAACAAACAAACAAAAAAAACTTACCACACTTATATACATACACTAGGTGTGGTACATTTTTAGCTCACCTGAGCCAAAGGCTCAAGTTGTCCAACATCCGTCTATGTCTGTCTGTTAACTTTCACATTTTTGATTTCTTCTCAAGAATCACTGGGTCAATTTCAACAAACTTGACACAAAGTATCATTGGGTAAAGAAGATTCAAGTTTGTTCAAATGAAGGGCCAGACACCCTATTCCAAGGGAAGATAATTAAGAAGTAAAAATTAGGTGGGATCATTTAAAAATCTTCTTCTCAAGAACCACTGGGCCAGAAAAGATGAAAATTATGTGAAAGCTTCCTGACATTGTGCAGATTCAATTTTGTTCAAATAGACCTGCTGGGGTACATGTAGGATGTGGCCACTATGGGATATCAAAGTTTTACAGTGGTTTATATAGGAAAAATCCTTAAAAATCTTTTTCTAAAGAACAGCAAACCCAAGATCAGTCATATTTATATGGGAGCATCCTCAGGTTGTGTAGATTCAAAATTGTTTCAATCATGATCCCCGGGCATAGGGTGTGTTCACTATATGGGCAATCAAAGTTTTACATGGGTATAACACACACTGTATAAATAGGAAAAAAATCTTTAAAAATCTTGTCAAGAATAGGAAAACCATGATTAATCATATTTATATGGAAGCATCCTCAGATTGTGTAGATTCGAATTCGTTCAAATCATGATCCTCAGTTTGAACATAGTTTCACATGTGTATAAGTAGGAAAATGTTTTAAAATCTTTTTCTCGAGAATAGGAAAACCATGATAATTATGTTTATCCTCAGATTGTGTAGATTTAAGTTTGTTCAATCATGTTTCCTGGTGGTAGGGAGGGGCTACAGTGGGGATCAGAGTTTTCCATAGAATACATAGAAGAAATCTTAAATAAAAATCTTCTGATGAAGAACAGCAAAGCCATGATCAGTCATATTTATATAGAAGCATCCACAGGTAGTGTATATTCAGGTTTGTTCAAATCATGACCCCTGTGGGTAGGGTGTGGCCACAATGAATGATTGAAGTTTTACATTGAAACACATAGAACAAGATGTGTTTGTGAAACACTGATGCCCCCGTATGGCAGCTTATGGTGAAGGTTAAAGTTTCTCAAATGCAAGTCAAAATCCAGGCAAAAAGATAAAAAATGTTCGTACCCAAAGAAAGGTCTTGTCTCGAGGAATATACCTGTGAAATTTGAAAGACTTAGCTGCAACTTTTCAAAAGTTATGGCGAAGGTTAAAGTTTTTTAAAAATAAGTAAAACGTCAAAGTCAAAGTTGTTGGTATCCAAAGGATGGTCTTGTCACAAGGATTACATATGTGAAGTATGAAAGCCCTAGCACTAACCATTCAAAAGCTATGGCCAAGGTTAAAGTTTTTCAAAAGTAGGTCAAACTCCTATGTCAAGGTCAAAGTGGTTGGTATCCAAAGGAAGGTCTTGTCACAAGGATTACATATGTGAAGTATGAAAGCCCTAGCATCAACCATTCAAAAGTTATGGCCAAGGTTAAAGTTTTCCAAAAGTAGGTCAAACTCCTAGGTCAAGGTCAAAAGGTCAAAGTGGTTGGTATCCAAAGGAAGGTCTTGTCACAAGGATTACATATGTGAAGTATGAAAGCTCTAGCACCAACTGTTCAAAAGTTATGGCCAAGGTTAAAGTTTTTCAAAAGTAGGTCAAACTCCAAGGTCAAAGTGGTTGGTATCCAAAGGAAGGTCTTGTCACAAGGATTACATATGTGAAGTATGAAAGCTCTAGCACCAACCGTTCAAAAGTTATGGCCAAGGTTAAAGTTTTTCAAAAGTTGGTCAAACTCCAAGGTCAAAAGGTCAAAGTTGTTGGTATCCAAAGGCCTTGTCACAAAGAATACACATGTGAAGTTTGAAACCCCAAGCACCAACTGTTCAGAAGTTATGGCCAAGGTTGAAGTCTCATAAAATTTTGCAAAAGTAGGTCAAACTCCAAGGTCAAGGTCAAATATGATGGTACCCAAAATAAGGTCTTGTCATAAGGAATACACATGTGAAATATGAAAGTCATAGCTCCAACCAATCAAAAGTTAAGGGTAAGGTTAAAGTTGACAACAGACAGCCAAACAGACAGACAGGACAAAAACAATATACCCCCGGGATCTTTCGATCCGGGGGCATAAAAATCTTTTTCCTAGTAACAGTCTTGATTAGTCATATTTATAACAAATAGATTGTGTAGATTCAAGTTTGTTCAAATCATAACCTCACGGAATAAGCTGGGACTATAATGAGTAATCAAATTTTACTTGGGAATACAAAGGAAAAAGAAGTTACTCAGGTGAGCATTGTGGCCCATGGGCCTCTTATTTTCTTTTTCTCTTAATGCCCCCGTAATCGAAGATTAGGGGGTATATTGTTTTTGCCCTGTCTGTCCGTCTGTTGGTCCACAAAAACTTTAACATTGCCCATAACTTTTTATTGGTTGAAGCTATGGCTTTCATAGTTCACATGTGTATTCCTTGTGACAAGACCTTTCTTTGGATACCATCATTTTTGACCTTGGGAGTTTGATCCAGTATTGCTAACTTTTACCCAACTTTAACCTTGGCCATAACTTTTGAACAATTTGTGCTAGGACTTTCATACTTCACATGTGTAATCCTTGTAACAAGACCTTCCTTTGGATACCAACAACTTTGACCTTGAGTTTGACCTACTTTTGGAAACTTTACCCTTGGCCATAACTTCTTAAAGGTTGGTGCTAGGGCTTTCATACTTCACATATGTAATCTTTGTGACAAGACCTTCTTTTGGTTACCAACAACTCTGACCCTTTGACCTTGGAGTTTGACCTACTTTTGAAAAACTTAACCTTGGCCATAACCTTTGAACAGCTGGTGCTAAGGCTTTCATATTTCAAATGTATTTCTTGTGAGATGACCTTTCCTTAGGCACCATTTTGACCATATGACTTGACCTTGATGTTTGACTTACTTTTGAAAAACTTTAATTAACCTTCTCCATATCTATTCAATGGTTGCTGCTGGGGCTTTCATATTTCACAGGTATATTACTTGAGACAAGACCTTATTTGGGTACCAACATAATTGATTTACATCTGAGAAAGTTTAACTTTCGCTATAAGTTGCCATACAGGGGCATCAGTGTTTTACAAACACATCTTGTTTTTCTTTTGTTGGTAAAACATTTTCTGCAAATAAACTTTAGTAAAATATCCCAGCTTCTGTATTAAATATTGACAACTGTAACTACAGTTAATTATTACGTCTATATGTATGTATTTTATTCATAATTTCAAACACTGTACAACAGCAAATATCAAGTCAGTCCTGTGATAAAGCCCCAAATTGACATGGCTTGTATAAATTAAGATACAAAGGAAATTTTTCACTCAGAACAATTGTTTGATCCCAAACATCTGTACTTAAAAAAAAATTAATGCAGAAAAGTCAACAAGGAATACATGTACACAGTGGGAAATAAAATGGATTTTCATTATTCATTATCATTCAACTTTCACTTTTTTCTTTAAAAAAAGGAAAGATATAAACATATTTTTTCTTCAATTCAGATAACTCTTAGATGAATTGAAATTATACCTGCAGACTATCTTCTGTGAATGTGTTTTCCTCCAGAATCTAAAATATTTATACAGTAACAGTATTGACCAACTTTACTCAACCAATTATTGTTCCCATGTGCTTCATGCATCATAGTATACAGGAATTTAGACCACCTTTAACAAAGTATACAAGCCAATATTTCACTCACAAAGTGAGGGAAAAAGTTGTGCCTATAATGTTAATCTCTATACAGGGTTATTTTCGCCCTGTGTTATTTTTACTCTTCCACACAAACAAATTTGCTTAATTTTAAATTTGCCAAGTCACAGTTCTGTTTAAGAAATTATACTGTGTTCTTTTAATTTTTTCCTGTTCTAAATTCACCCACTTATGATAAGTGAAAGGGGCAAAAATAAAACAAAGATGAAAATTCCCTTGTATACAGTAACTATTCTGGATAATGTATGTATTTTGAACTTAATTTATTCCATGCATTTTGTCACTGTATCCAGGGTTATTTTTGGCCTTGCTATTTTCACAATATCCCACTTGCAAACAATTTAGCCCCATTTTAAATTCACTCAAACACACTTCTTTTTTAAGAAAAGAATCTTCTTTGAATTCATCCTGTTTTAAATTCGCCCACTTGTGACAAGGGGGAAAGGGTGAACATAAAAAGGGGGCAAAAATTTAGCTGTATACAGTATACACCTAGCTGGAATATTAAAATAAGCAGATAAAAATTATTGACCTACACAGTCTATCTTTTGTTACACAGATATAGTGTCCCTGGAATATCAATATACAGCAGATAAAAATTATTTATCTAAACAAACTAATTTTCCAAATGAAGGAAAAAAAATCATTATTTTCTCATGCAAAACAAAAATAAATTACAGAGTGTGTTCATATTCCTTGTTAATTCTTGAAAGTTCACATAAAAGATCTCATATATTACAAGCACCATTGTTCAAGACATGTTCAACATCTTTACAAACTTTAACCCTCTTCAATTTCTGTCTTATATTATCTGACATACTGGTACATGTACAATGTTTCAACAGTATCAGTGTACACAGATACAAGTACAGTACATAGAGTTGTCCAATATGACATTAAATTACAAAACACACTGACAAAAAACTGAAGGAAAATTCCCTACACAGTGACATCCTGGAGACCAATACTGACTTGTGGGCATATGCTGCTGTTTTAAGGTAAATATTAACATAATTCTGACTAATCAGGAATCAATTTTCTGTGTGATTTGCACTAAATTCATAATTAACCATAACATCTATAAGAAGATGTCTGTAAGATTTAATCCTTCTAAATCTCATACTTGATTAAAACCAAGCAATAAAGTGAGTAAAATAAATACTGTATACAGGGTTATTTTTGCCCTGTGTTATTTTCACCCTTTCATACTAGAAAATAATTTTGCCCCTTCTACAAATATCCAAACACAGTTCTAATCAAAATACAATGCTGTTTTCTTTGAATTCTCCCCATTTTATATCCACCCAGTTGCGACGAGGGTGAAAGGGACAAAGATTCCCCTGTATACAGTAAATCAATAATTAATTTTATGTTAAACAATAATTTTTAAAACACTGATGAGTCCGTACAGAGAAAATAATTGTTTCTTAAGTTGAATTGGATGCTCTTGTTTTAATATGGTTCTTGTAAGAAAAAAAGTTCCTGTAAATAAACTGTGTGTCATCGCTGCTGCAGCAGCCTGTCTATTGCAGCATTCACATCTCCCAGTGTCGCTTGTAGTGCTGAAAATTCAGAGATGTGCCATTGTATCAACAAGATATACGTAAATCATATAGATTCCTATAACCCAGTAATGTAAACTGCTTACCAATAATACAATACAAAGATCAGAGCACAAGACTGAAATAAAAGTTAACAACAGCTTTTTGATTTTTTAACAGAAAAATTACTTAAACTGTCCAACAAAATTCACTTGACCATTAAATATTATTGGTACCAGACAAGCAGATAAAATGTTCTGCTTGATCATTTTCTAATACTATTTTAACTGTTAGGCCTATCCTTTACAAGATGCTCTAAGGCCTCTCCCATCAGTAACCACATACCTCGGATATTTGCCTCTCTGTCCACAAAACCCATAGTGGCCAGCTGATCCAGTTGTGCAGCATACCTCTGCTCTGGGGGCTGATTCTACAGTATAATAGTCATAGTTACACAGCATTATAGGGGGTGTTATTCGTGGTAAGTAATAGTCATAGTTACACAGCATTATAGGAGTGTTATTCATGGTAAGTAATAGTCATAGTTACACAGCATTATAGGGGTGTTAGTCATGGTAAGTAATAGTCAAAGTTACACAGCATTATAGGAGTGTAATTCATGGTAAGTAATAGTCATAGTTACACAGCATTATAGGAGTGTTATTCATGGTAAGTAATAGTCATAGTTACACAGCATTATAGGAGTGTTATTCATGGTAAGTAATAGTCATAGTTACACTGCATTATAGGAGTGTTAGTCATGATAAGTAATAGTCATAGTTACACTGCATTATAGGAGTGTTAGTCATGGTAAGTAATAGTCATAGTTACACAGCATTATAGGGGGTGTTATTCATGGTAAGTAATAGTCATAGTTACACAGCATTATAGGGGGTGTTATTCATGGTAAGTAATAGTCATAGTTACACAGCATTATAGGAGTGTTATTCATGGTAAGTAATAGTCATAGTTACACAGCATTATAGGAGTGTTATTCATGGTAAGTAATAGTCATAGTTACACAGCATTATAGGGGTGTTAGTCATGGTAAGTAATAGTCATAGTTACACAGCATCATAGGAGTGTTAGTCATGGTAAGTAATAGTCATAGTTACACAGCATTATAGGAGTGTTAGTCATGGTAAGTAATAGTCATAGTTACACAGCATTATAGGGGGGTTATTCATGGTAAGTAATAGTCATAGTTACACAGCATTAAGGTGCTTAGACACAGATATGAACTAAATATTTTCACAAATTTTTATGTATAATATCACGACTTATATATTGCAATAGCATTTGACACGAAAATATAACTAAAAACTTATATTATCGGGAAATTATAGGAACTACGAATTCCGGGACGCGTTTGATTAACACATCTTTGCACTTAAACAAATTTTAACTTTATCCTTAATATTAAAGAAAAGAAGCGATTTTGTTATGTATTAATGAAAAATATTACATCTATAATCCAGTAAATTCAGAGTAGAAATGTTCAAAAGCAAAACCAGCTCACCAGTATTGTCAGTCCGTGCTCTGTGATGTGTACAGAGTTTAACAAATTGAACACACCAGTGAAACGTAAACTGTTTTTGTAAACAGGGCACGAGCTCTGTTATTGTTAATGTTTACGATTCACCAGGTGTGTTCAATTGTTAAACTCTGCACACACCACTGAGCACGGACTTACAATACTGTGAGTGGGTTTTGCTTTCGAACATTTCTACTCTGAATTTTCTGGGTTATAGTTTTAATATTTTTCATTAATACACAACAAAATTGCCACTTTTCTTAAGTATTAAGAATAAAATTAAAATATGTGAAAGCGCAAGGATGTGTCAATCCAACGCGTCCAGAAATTTGAAGTGTTAATAACTTCAAGATGAAATAAGATTTTTATTATATTTTAGTATGAAATGCTATAGGAACATATAAGTCATGAAATTATACAGAAAATTTGAGAAAATATTAACTTCAAATCTGTGTCCAAGCACCTTTATAGGGGTGTTATTCATGGTAAGTAATAGTCATAGTAACACAGCATTATAGGGGGTGTTATTCATGGTAAGTAATAGTCATAGTTACACAGCATTATAGGAGTGTTAGTCTGGTAAGTAATAGTCATAGTTACACAGCATTATAGGAGTGTTATTCATGGTAAGTAATAGTCATAGTTACACAGCATTATAGGGGGTGTTATTCATGGTAAGTAATAGTCATAGTTACACAGCATTATAGGGGTGTTATTCATGGTAAGTAATAGTCATAGTTACACAGCATTATAGGAGTGTTAGTCATGGTAAGTAATAGTCATAGTTACACAGCATTATAGGAGTGTTATTCATGGTAAGTAATAGTCATAGTTACACAGCATTATAGGGGGTGTTAGTCATGGTAAGTAATAGTCAAAGTTACACAGCATTATAGGGGGTGTTATTCATGGTAAGTAATAGTCATAGTTACACAGCATTATAGGAGTGTTAGTCATGGTAAGTAATAGTCATAGTTACACAGCATTATAGGAGTGTTAGTCTGGTAAGTAATAGTCATAGTTACACAGCATTATAGGGGTGTTATTCATGGTAAGTAATAGTCATAGTTACACAGCATTATAGGGGTGTTATTCATGGTAAGTAATAGTCATAGTTACACAGCATTATAGGGGTGTTATTCATGGTAAGTAATAGTCATAGTTACACAGCATTATAGGGGGTGTTATTCATGGTAAGTAATAGTCATAGTTACACAGCTTTATAGGGGTTTTATTCATTGTAAGTAACAGTCATAGTTATACAGCATTATAGGGGGTGTTATTCATGGTCAGTCATGGAAGTATTAAAATGGGGGCACAGTATTCATATCTGTAGTTTCAGTACTGTTGCAAAGTGCAATACAAGTGTACTTATTTTAGCCATGTTATAGATCACAATTGAAATATGATTTTACTTTGTACATGTGCTGATCATTAGTCTACTCTATGATGTACTAATGAGCCAATTTACGAATACTCAAAAACAATCAGAACGTAATCAGAACCTTACACAGCATGTGAAAATACACACAGTGATATCACGGACTGAATGTGCATAATATGACTCTGCTTTTTCAGCCTTTAAAACTGAAATACATGTACAAAAGGCCAATGGGCCACATCACTCACCTACAGGAAAGCAGAAATCAGTTCAGTATTGTCTCTTTTATCATTTCTCTAAGGGACAATACAATAAGTGAATCCTTATCTTGTTTAAACACTCCTTTCTCTAAAGGACAATACAATAACTGAATTCTTACCTGGTAAGACACTTCTCTAAGGGACAATACAATAACTGAATCCTTACCTGGTAAAACACTTCTCTAGGGGACAATACAATAACTGAATCCTTAGCTTGTTAAAACACTCCTTTCTCTAAGGGACAATACAATAACTGAATCCTTACCTGGTAAAACATTCATTTCTCTAAGGGACAATACAACAACTGAATCCTTAGCTTGTTAAAATTCCTTTCTCTAAGGAACATTACAACAACTGAATCCTTAGCTTGTTAGAACACTCCTTTCTCTAAGGGACAATACAATAACTGAATCCTTACCTGGTAAAACATTCATTTCTCTAAGGGACAATACAATAACTGAATCCTTAGCTTGTTAAAACACTCTTTTCTCTAGGGGACAATACAATAACTGAATCCTTACCTGGTAAAACACTCCTTTCTCTAAGGGACAATACAGTAACTGAATCCTTACCTGGTAAAACACTCCTTTCTCTAAGGGACAACACAATAACTGAATCCTCTAAGGGACAATACAATAACTGAATCCTTACCTGGTAAAACACTTCTCTACGGGACAATACAATAACTGAATCCTTACCTGGTAAAACACTTCTCTACGGGACAATACAATAACTGAATCCTGACCTGGTAAAACACTCCTTTCTCTAAGAGACAATACAATAAGTGAATCCTTACCTGGTAAAACAATCTTTCCTCTAAGGGACAATTACTGAATCCTTACCTGGTAAAACACTCCTTTCTCTAAGGGACAATACAATAACTGAATCCTAACCTGGTAAACCATTCCTTTCTCTACGGGACAATACAATAACTGAATCCTTACCTGGTAAAACACTCCTTTCTCTAAGGGACAATACAACAACTGAATCCTTAGCTTGTTAAAACATTCCCTTCTCTAAGGAACATTACAACAATTGAATCCTTAGCTTGTTAGAACACTCCTTTCTCTAAGGGACAATACAATAACTGAATCCTTACCTGGTAAAACATTCATTTCTCTAAGGGACAATACAATAACTGAATCCTTAGCTTGTTAAAACACTCTTTTCTCTAGGGGACAATACAATAACTGAATCCTTACCTGGTAAAACACTCCTTTCTCTAAGGGACAATACAGTAACTGAATCCTTACCTGGTAAAACACTCCTTTCTCTAAGGGACAACACAATAACTGAATCCTCTAAGGGACAATACAATAACTGAATTCTTACCTGGTAAAACACTTCTCTACGGGACAATACAATAACTGAATCCTTACCTGGTAAAACACTTCTCTACGGGACAATACAATAACTGAATCCTTACCTGGTAAAACACTTCTCTACGGGACAATACAATAACTGAATCCTGACCTGGTAAAACACTCCTTTCTCTAAGAGACAATACAATAAGTGAATCCTTACCTGGTAAAACAATCTTTCCTCTAAGGGACAATTACTGAATCCTTACCTGGTAAAACACTCCTTTCTCTAAGGGACAATACAATAACTGAATCCTTACCTGGTAAACCATTCCTTTCTCTACGGGACAATACAATAACTGAATCCTTACCTGGTAAAACACTTCTTTCTCTAAGGGACAATACAATAACTGAATCCTTAGCTTGTTAAAACACTCCTTTCTCTAAGGGACAATACAATAACTGAATCCTTACCTGTGTAACGGTTGATTTTGCGCATACTAAAAGAACACGAAACGCGCACCATACTTTATTAAACCGATTGCCTATTTATAGAGTTTCTGTCCTTGCGCCAGGTATTTAATTTTATTTAGAGATTATATTATTAAAAACTTTATAAAAATTCTATTTGAATATTACTTTAGTTGTTATCTATTTTTAATTAATTTTCAGTGCAGTGATTTGAATTTATAAAATATTATTTTGTTGAGTAAATCTCTAAGATTTAAACTGGTTTGTCAAGTTATCTATTAATACTCACTGTGCTGACGCCCCTGTTATGAACTGAACGTGTTCGATTGAGTTTGAGAGTGATGTGTGTTACGGTAAGAATGTTTGTTAATCTTGTGTTTTTTAAAACTTGAATTATACTAATTATTATATCTTTTTATCGTTAATATAATAAATACCGGTAATTCTGTTTATTTAAATGTAGAGACCACACGCGCAGTAAAAGTACGAGTGAGTGAATGGGTGTGGCATTGCCATATTTTGGTGGTATGTGTTCGTTTGAATTTAAATTCATATACTGATTAATTCTTTTATTTTTGTTTGTGTGTTCTATTGGTAATGTGTGTATACATTTTTGCTTGTTTGTAGCTCATTGCCAATTTGATAATTTAATTTAAAATACAGAACCATAAAAAAGAACTTGACTTTAGTCGTTACACCTGGTAAAACATTCATTTCTCTAAGGGACAATACAATAACTGAATCCTTACTTGCTAAAACACTTCTCTAAGGGACAATACAAAAACTGAATCCTTACCTGGTAAAACACTCCTTTCTCTAAGGGACAATACAATAACTGTATCCTTACCTGGTAAAACACTCCTCTAAGGGACAATACAACAACTGAATCCTTACCTGGTAAAACACTTCTCTAAGGGACAATACAACAACTGAATCCTTACCTGGTAAAACACTTCTCTACGGGACAATACAATAATTGAATCCTTACCTGGTAAAACACTCCTCTAAGGGACAATACAATAACTGAATCCTCACCTGGTTACCACCAGCCATCAGCTGCATCATGTGAGCCATGAGATTGGACAGCTGTTCAGGATTCTGCTGAGGGGTAGATCCAACAGTGGAAGGGGTGGTAGTGGTGCCACCTGTTGACGATGTAGTCACTGTAGCAGTTGTGGTGGTGGTGGGGGAGCTTGTGGCTTCTGTGGTGGCACTTGTGGTGTCTGTGATAGCAGATGTTGTTGTTGTTGTTGTAGCAGTAGTTGTAGATGTTCCACCCAGAGCCAGTGAGCCAGGATTTAATCTACAACAGGATTTTTATAACTACACAATAGTCTGACAAGATCATGTATTTTTGACTAGTTAGCATGAAATTCTCTGAAATATGAAAACAAATTAGTTATACATGTAGTACACTATACAGGGAGATTCCTAGAAACCAAAAAACCTAGTCTGTGTGGCTAAAAATGAAGAGGAGGGGGCTATCTAGACAAATGGAGATTTTTCTCTTTTCTTTATACAGAACAGGTGAACTAAAGCAGCTACTGTAAATTACACTTTCTAATCTAACTGACATCTGATAGGACTTACCCAGGGAAGAGTGAAGGAGCTGTCTGCTGCAGTGTGCTCATACCCTGTTGTATCTGCATTACTGCATTTAAAGCCTGCGGATTAGTCATCAATGCTTGCATTTCAGGGTTCTGCAACTGTAAACAAATAAAACTGAATGTGAATCATACTTCTATCACCTTCCTAAAAAAAATATCCCCACAAAGATCTCATTCTTGACAAAAATTTCAGGGTTTTTCTCTGCTTAAGTGGCAATTTAATTAGACTTATAATTCTGCCTTTCTAGTGTATTGCAGAGTTGTGGAATTGCACAAGTCTAATTTTAATTAGATTGCTTTAACGGTGATTACCTGTTGAAGCATAGTTGGGAGCTGTTGTAACACCTGTTGCTGAAGTTGAGGGTTACTGGCAAACATAGGATTGGATCCAATAATCTGCCAAATAAAAAAAACATTTTATGACTTTAACAAAAGATTCCTTCACAAGTAAAATGTAAGTTCCAGAAAAACTTGCATGTACAAGTGAGTTTGTGTAGTCTGTAATTTCTTGTTTGATTGATTTAAACATGAGCTTCCCTTGCTAGCCATCTCTAGGCTTGCTTAAGAGATGTGAATTTATCTAGACTGCCATCTTTGAACTGGCTCAGAAGATGTACCTGGTTTGCCATCTCTGGGTTAGCTGACATTGACTGAAGCATGGACTGCATGTAAGGGGCTTGCATCATGTTTTCAATCAGTTGGGGGTTCTGAATCATCTGTTGCATCAAACTCTGCATTCCCCGACTACCCAACATGTCTACAACAATTCAAATGATTAAATCAAGTGCCAGTGATGAAAATTTGCTGCAAGAAAAAAAACAACACCCTTTTAATGTATGTTATTCTCTAAGTATGTTTAATAACTTTCTTTAGATTCCAAACTGTAATGGTAGAACCAAATTAGTAGTCATTGATTCAAGATGAAATGAAAAACAAAAACCAATATTAATCCTGGCAAACAAACAAGTATTTAAGAAATATAAGTGATATACTGTATGTACACATATATTAATAAATTGATCGTTATTGTTAATTATAATCCAGAATACACAGTGTACATTACCTTGTGTTGATACTGTAGCTGTGGGGGCCGTAGAACTACTTGTTGTGGAGGATGAACTGCTCTGTGTGGAGGCTGGGGCCCAGGGGTTGGGGAGGGGCTGGGTGTTCTCTGTACCCTGCTGTGTGTTGGAGGAATCAGAACTATCTGAAGGTCAAAATGTATGTGGAATCACTTATTATTTTTGTGTATTGAAGGCTTCAAATTCTCCCTTTTTATCTTTTTTTGTGTATTGAAGGCTTCAAATTCTCCCTTTTTATCTTTTTATTTCTTAAGAAAAAGTTCTCTCAGTCAGATGAAGTAAAAGATTCAATACTCAAATACATTTAAAACATCTGGCCAACCTTTTCTTAAGTCTTTGAAACTTGAATCTTACTTTGACTGACAAGGGAGGCAAATGGATTCTGATTCCCAAAGGCAGCGTCCATCATTGGCTCTTGTACATCTCTGTACATCCTCTGTAGGGCATTGAATCCCCCAGGTATACTCTGTATTCAGCATACATAACTCAGTATTTAACAAAGAAAAACTTTAAACACTGCATACTGATGTGGAAGGATACTTTGAGTGATTAGATTAGATACACGTATTAGCAAACTTATCTTAAAAACCTTGTCTAATTCAATAGTACTGAATCAGAATTATTTTAAATTGTTACCATCTACAAGATATACCTCTAAATTACTCATAGCACGATCTTGAGATCTCATCAGTTCCTGAAGCATGGCAGGGTTCCTGGCCAGTTCCATTGTCTAGATATTAACACAATTACATGCATGTATAAATATATACTTTTAACCATATACAATGTTTTTTATTGATTTTTTTTTAAAACTAGGAATCAACACTTTGAGTTTAATAGATCTATTTATTAGGGATGGCAATCAAATATAAAATACCAGTAGCTATTTGGTTAACCGCAAAAAAATACAGGACAGGCTGAGTAATGGGACAAGGTGTTTTATCAGCAATAATTATCACAATTCCCTGATGATCTCAATTTTTATTAGTTATGTGAGTGAAAATGCTATCTTATCAACATTCAGATTTTTTTAAAAAATTTACATGAAATTTGTTAAAATTTACAAATACCGTAAGTTTTGGAAGATAAGACGATACTTTTTTTCTCAGAACCGCTGGGGTCATCCTATTTAACGAATCGACCAATCTAAGGCTCAAGTTTACGAAAAATGCCTCCAAATCAGAAAAATTTACGTCAATTTTAAAGCAAATCTGTGCCATTTTCGTATTTTTTAAAAATAATAAACAATGAAGAATTAAATATTTATCAAATATTTATTCCATTGATTTCTTACAAAATAAGTTCCATTAAATATCCGTCGATGTACAAAAAAACTTATTACCGGTATATTATCTAGTAATTAATGTTTTAAAGTATATTTACAACATGCTGTGTCCATCTTGTGAAGTTGGAAGTCACAATCGTTTACTAAAAAGAAAGCCGCAGCCGTATCAAAATTTAAAATACGGAAGAGTTTTCACAATCGCAATTGTAATTTTTTTTTACCATTTATTTGTAATGATTAACTGAAATAGTATGCCTAAATATTTGTTCATTGTCTTGTGATATTTATTTAGATGTAAAATGCATGAAGTAAATTGTTGCCAGTAAATTTCTAAATTATTTTATTTTCCACATATGCTGCTAGTAATAACTATTTTGTTTTATATCTTAATTATTTATAATAAAACGAACTTATATTGAATATACTATTATACGTTTCTGGAAGTTATAAATTCATTTATTTACGATACGTTATTTTTTATTCACAGTTTTTTTTTGTTTTACAAAATAAATGTTTTTTTTAAATGATAGAATTAAAAGCTTCTTCGTACCCAAGGGGTACACTGAATTATACAAAGATTGGCTTCTAATAGAATTTTAATTGTCTGACAGATAAAGGGATATACACTGTGTACACGAAGGTGTTAATACCTGTGTTGGTTAAAACACCTGCGGGGCATGATTAACAGATTCACGTGCCATTACAAGGGTTTTAGTGCTATACATCATTGAACAACAAAACTGTGAAATTCTTGATGACTGTTAAATTGCGAATGTACTCTCAAATTTATTTTTTACAACAATATCTCATGCAAAATTATAGCATGTTTTAAAATATGATTAATTTCATTTGCACACTGTTACATGTAATAGTCATTTGTGTGTTTTAGCAAATCCCTGGACAAGAAAATATAAAAATGGCGGTCATCGAAGTTAATTTTTTACCCCGATAAATAATGTCGGAATAAAAGAATGTGTCCACGATGTTCTAAATTGGAATTGATTATTGTTTGATTTCGGGTATTTCCCTAATTATAGCTGTCTTATACTACCGTATTTATGTGTTTAACGAAAGAGTCAAACTACGACGGCATTGAACAGGCAAGTTGGAGAAAATACGTTATATCACAATTCAAGGAAGTTTTAACTACGTTTGTATAAAACACTATTAAAATACTGTACTCATAAAAATGCTAGTTTATTTTCTCAATACGTTAATATCATGGGTTAAGTTAAAGAGGTTTACATGTTCTGATACATAGTATCTACGTAAGAATCTCTAGAAATCGATAAACAAAGCCTCGTCCTATCTTCCAAATTCGTCCTATCTTAGGATTTTTTAAAAATTACGGCTGAAAATGAGCCTTTCGACCTATACACCCCATCGACATATACCCCAAAACTTACGGTATTTCATTTTTTTTGACTAACAGATTACAGATTTCCTAACTGATTATCACCATTCTGACTGAGTTACAATTATCCATCCCTACAATTTATCAATAATAAATACACTTCTTGACTGTAAGATATCTATAGTCAGTTACCTGTCTCATTAACTCTGGGTTGTTCAACATGTGTGAAATTTCTGGGTTTCTCTGTAATAGAATAACCATACTTAATATTACTTTGTAAAGTTGTCAATACCTTGATTTTATGTGTAATCAGTGTAACACCTAATTGTTCACTTCCCTGGATTCTCCCTATGTCCCCTTACCTCCATAAGGTCCCTCATCTGTGGATTACTGGTGATCATCTGTCTCATGACGTCAGGGTTAGACATTAACTGCTGGACAAATGGATTCTCCATCATCTGCCGCATCAGATCAGGGTTAGCCATCATCTGTAAAAACAACTTTAATACTTATCTATAATGTACACATTAAATATCAAGATAATAGGACAATCCACATCTAAAGACTACTGACAACAGCCTATATACTTTGTTACTTTTATTGAAATATTTAGCATTACTGACCTCCCTCTGCATATTTTGTTGCATCTCCATGAAGTTGTGAGACCCCATTCCAAGATTTCCAAGTCCTGCTAATCCCCCTAAACCTCCCAATCCAAAGGGAGTCTGTGAGAGATTTGGGGTTTCCCCTCCTGAAGTAGTTGTCTATAAATAGGCACAAAAATAGTTTTAGGTAAATACTTCATGGGTCAAGAAATTGATTATGAAAACTCCTAAAGTTAAACAAGAATCTTTCAAAGTAAAAATGACCTCATGACAGCTTGTTTTTGTTATTGTTTATTGATCTATTTACAGGTATTTAATGAAATTGAAGGTATAGTATTCTTAGGAATGTCTATATACAAAACACTGCCAAACAAATTATCTGTCTAAATTTGTTCAAATTCAAGTGTAGATTGTGCATTGCCAAGGAAAATATCTGTGTAAGTTCCCGTAGATTGACTATGTACCCCAGGAGTTGATGTACTGGAGGGCGCTGTTGTTCTCTGTGCTGCCTGTTCTTGTGACTACAAAAAAAATCATTACGTTTCTCAAGAAATTTCCAAAATATATTAAGCTTTTTATAAATTGCAAGCTGTCATATCAGATTTCTGTCCTATGTCATACTATACCAATGTTACACTAATGAACACAACATGTAAGTAGTGTGAAACATAATACAAGTTTTTCAGTTTCTTAGGTATTGAAATAAAATGCAATTTTCAATAGCATTAATATATATATATATATATATATATATATATATATATATATATATATATATATATATATATATATATATATATATTAGGGCTGGGACGATATATCGAGATATCGATAATTTCGATTCAATGTGAGGATGATACGCATATCGATACGTATGAAGAAATATCGACATATCGCCCAAAAAATTCTGACTTGTGTTTTTCTTTGTTTACTTAACATTTTGGGTTTAATATATAAAATAAATATGCTTAATATAAATATAAATATGAAATACATAATAATTAAGACCACTTGTGCAAAATAATTAAGTTTTACAACAGATATGCAACTTCTTTGAATAAATTATTCTTATTTGTGAAGAAATGTTTTGTTCATTTCAATATAAAAAAAGAATTTATAACCAATTAAACATATCGTGATACATATCGTATCGTGGCTCAAATATCGGGATACGTATCGATATAGAAAAAGTTGTATCGTCCCAGCCCTAATATATATATAGATAGATATATATATATATATATATATATATATATATATATATATATATATATATATATATATATATATATATATATATATATATATATATATATATATATATATATATACACATGTAATCTACAGGGAGAGCTTTATTCTTGGTCATGAGAATGTTTAACTTTTATAAGAAATATGATGACATTTAATCTGCAGGAAAACAGTTGCTTTACAGTTTTGGTACATGTATTTAAAATTGACAGAGCTTTAAAGATACCCAAGGGTTCAAAATGTAGAAGATAGAACAAATAATTAATAAAAATAAGTATATACATGTAACTTCTGTTATTCCTAAATATAATGCCACTGTGACACAGAAATTTATTTTTATTCTTAATATACAATTATAAAAGTCATGTAATATCCCACCATATTAGTATACACTAAGTGTAAGACCAAAGTGAATTTCTCTGATTTTGGAGAGCACTTTAAATGTTGTCACTAAAGGGAAAAAAATTAATATATAAAGGTTTACATGTTAGATATAATAACTTTTGGTAACACTGCAATAATTACCCTGTTTGAAGACTTGATCACTAGGTGCACGGTAAGTCCATCCTTTATTCCATGCTGTGACAAAGTTTCTCCATCTTTTAGAATCTTTCCAGCAAAAATCAGACAAAGTTGTTCTATAGGTGCAGAAAACTTCTTACCAACTTCTTCCTTAAACTACAAATATATAACATATTTTTAAAATTGAGACTTAATAGCATAAATGTTTTCTTTTTTTTTTTTTTTTGGACCAAAGTGCATGCAGCAATTGAATTTTTGTCCTCTTTTATTTTTATTTTACATAAAGGACCTTCCACTACATGAAAAAAAACTTAAGTTCTGATCATTTTGCTGATGATATAACTCTACAAAATTACTTTAATCCAAGATGTTTAGAAATTGTACAATTCAGATGTTTGCAAGACTGACGAATGTTGCACTTCAAAATACTGTAGATTCCTAAATATACGCAAGGAATAAATTATCGCGTAATTACGCGAGAAGCACCATTCGCGAAATAAAATTACTCGCTTTTATTTTTATGGTGCTTTAATGTATGTAAAATCTATAGATAAATCACCGATTCGCGAATTATTGTTCCCGCGATTTGACGCTCTTGGGCCATTTCGCGATATTAAGTACTCGCGTTAAATAAGGAATTTACAGTAAATCAAAATGAGACAATCCAAATTTACAATTTACAAATTTACAATTGTAGATTCAAAATGAAACCAGAAGTCTCTGATGAGACTGTAGCTCTACTGGTCTGTACATATAACAAAGTAGCATTTGGATTTGAAACTTTGCAACATGCAACAATAAATAGAATTATGTATCTTAATGTAGTCTACTTCTGTGCCAAGTTATATTGAAATCAAACGAAAACTGTAGGAGGAGTAATGTTTTGAAAGTATTTCACAGCAATTTCTATTTTTAGTAACCATGGCAACAACGTTCATTGAAATCAAAAACCGAAATACATATTATGTATCATAGTGTATTCTAATTGTGTGCCAAATAAGATTGAAATCAGACCAAAACTGTAGGAGGAGTAACGTTTTAAAGGAATTTCACAGAAATTTCTATTTTTAGTAACCTGGCAACACCGTTCATTGAAATCAAAAACTGATGCAATAAATCATGTATCTTAGTGAAGTCTACTTGTGTGCCGAAAATTATTGATATCAGACCAAAACTGTAGGATGAGTAGCATTTTAAAGGAATTTTACAGATATATCTATTCAGGGATTTTTTTACCCTCTGACTCCAGGGGCTGGGGCCGTCAAGATTGGGAAAAATAGCGATATTTCGTTGAAATTGGGAAAAAATATCTTCATACAAATAAAAACAAGCAAAAGTCAAATATTAAATCATTTTTCTTATTTTTTTGTAGTATGAAGCTGACCTAAACCAGCTTTAGTGATATGAAATAATAGAGACTGTTCAGGACCTTAAAAATGGTAAAGCCGCAGGGTATAATAACATTATAAATGAACACTTTTATACAACGTTGTCATCTTTTTTACCTTTACGTAAGAAGTTCTTCAAAATAAAATTTGATAGTGGGTTTGTTCCAGATGAGTGGTTAATCGGTATTGTTTGACTAATATATAAGAATAAGAGTGATTCAACACGGCCTGAAAATTACCGCCCTAGGCAAACTGGAGAGACTGACATGATGCATGTTTAAAATTAACGATCCCGACTTTAATTTTTAAATATCGATCCCGCTTTAAAAAGTATGCATACAACATCCGTAGTATTCCGAATAACTTTTCGGAACTCCTTGGATGGCTCGTACATCGCACATAGAGGACATAAACTCCTTTTTGTCATTATTTTATTTTAATAATTTACAACTTAATACTTTTTTCATATTGGGAATTTTTAGGTATAATTTTGGGAAAAACATGCACTTTTCAGCATTGGGAATGGGGCCGAATTTCGGCCCCAGAGAGACCCTTAAAAAAATCCCTGCTATTTTTAGTAACCATGGCAACAACATTCAATGAAATCAAAAACCGATGCACTAAATTATGAATCTGAGTGTAGTCTACTTGTATGCCAAATTATATTGAAATCGGACTAAAACTGTAGCAGGAATAGCATTTTAAAGGAATTTCACAGAAATTTCTATTTTTAGTAACCATGGCAACCCTGTTTTGACATTGAAATCAAAAACTGATGCACTTAATTATGTATCTTAGTGTAGTCTACTTGTGTGCCAAGTTATATTGAAATCAGACCAAAACTGTAGGAGGAGTAGCGTTTTGAAATTGTTTACAGACAGACGGACAACAGACACCTTACTATCGCATTCGCTCTTCTGGTCTCTGACCAGTAGAGCTAAAAATCAAAATTAACTTGAGAAATTGTTTTAATTCCAGTTAGGTCTTACAAAAATTATGTTTGTTTTCTTGTAACATTCCAAAAAAAAATCAAGAATTGGTAGGTCTGGATTTTTTTCTTTTTTTTTTGCTAATGAATTAGGGTCAAACATCCCCAGACTGAATTAATCAGGTATGATATGTACAGTGGACACCAAATATGGCTGTCTAGCACAGAAAACAAACTTCTAAATGTTGTGGGGGGAAATGCTTGATGTAACAATAATGATTACTCTTTATATTTATATTTAAGGGAAATGATGATAAGGTTGACATAATGTTATATCCCAAATAAAGCTAGTTAGACAATTAACATTTTTAGTATATTAAATTGAATCAGCTGAGGCCAAAAATAAAATTAGCTTTGTTTGGCGTTGCCGGCCGACTCACATAAATCGGTGCGGTCTGAAGAATTTTTTCAACAGATACTGATCATAATTTTTATTATTTCGTTATATTCATCCGGATTTAGGTGTTTGTACGTTTGTGTAATATAAACAGAATGGGAAAGAATCATGTAAACGCTTGATTGATCAAACAGTTTTCATTTATAAGCGTCTATGTGATGTTGAATTAATGCGTATCACGAATCCAAGCATGGCTGTCGAAAGCGGTAAAATGTAAACTCAGTATAACAGAAGTTGATGGCATGACTCTCTGTGGTAATGTGGTTTTAAAAGTAAACTGATGAATAAGATATACCACTTCGAAATAGAAATTTCATGGTACAATGTCCTGTCCAATTTGCTAGTCTAGCTGCCATGCTTGGATTCGTGCACATGATTCGAATTTACAAAAATTTAATGTCAGTGATTTTTAATACTACGTATATTAAAGGTTTAAATCTAATAGGGTTTGAAAATCAATGACAAATCTGAGAATCAATTCGGACTGTGGTTGTTGTTAAACTATCGGAAACCCACGGCGTTCGGATACTAACAACATGTACCATTTCTGAAATTTAAATAAAAAAAAATATTTTCCCTACCTACCGACCCAAACGTATAAAGACTAAGTCGGCAACGCCAAACCAACAATATTTTAATTGTGGCCTGATTTAACAAACACAGATATGGCAGAAAAAATTCACCAGGGGGTAATTTGAAAGGGTCTGATTTTCTTTTACCAAATTAATTAGGCCATGGGCTGTTTTGTAAAAAAACTAAATATTTTAAGTTCGGGAAATCTTGCCTGAACTTTGACAGCTTGTTACGATCAAAGTGGGTTAAGGTCAAGATCTAGTAAATGACTTTAGACTGTTTTTTGGTGTTAGATCCATTATGACGTCATAATTGATTTAAGCTTAATTTTTCCCATACTTTATTGGCTGGAATGCTTTGGCATCAGATGTTTAAATGAATGTGACAATGATATGAACAATCAACAACCTGATTTTTGGTTGGATTTAAACCTTGTAAAGGTATGAAACGAAAGTGAGATTTGCTTGTCCAAAGACACAATTAGATTATTCCAACTAACCTCTTCCCAAAAATCAATATTCTAAAATGTGCAGTGTTATATGCTATTAAACTTATGTCAATGATTTGGAGCTTTCTTTTTCTACATTTGTTGACTAACATAGGTATTGATAATCAGGTAATTTAGTCATTTAACATCTTAATCTAAAAGTGACGAGGATCTTTAATTTGAAGATAATTACTATATTACCTACCTCAGCAACAAAGCAGATAAAGGACCAAAACCCATATTTTCGATCATTCAATTTGAAAATATATGAGTTACATTTTTTATCAAAATTATTCACGTGCATATCGCAATACCTATTACGAAAGATTATGGGATGTCAGATGTTGGGTTTTTTAACACAATTTTTATGTTAGAAATAAAAGAGAATCCATATTTTAATGCATTGAAAAATTGACATATATCAAATTCTTACTTCTCGCACACCAGCATCTGCATTAATTTCGACATCATGCTTTTCTTTCGGCGTTTTAACGGTAACAGTTATTCTGGGACTTTCTTCGTCAGCCATGACTGCTATGAATTATGGGAAAATGAAGTATGCCGAGCCCGAGGTTTAGAAAATAAGGAGTGGATCCACAAATAATCAAAAAATCAATTTAAACAGGTGCAAGAAATATTTTCTTATAAAAGCAAGCTTTTTGATAAAAAAATTATTCCACTCCTTTGAAAAAAGGGTAGTAAGGTTATTTATTTTTCTGTTTTGACTTATTTGTTACATCAAAATGTAAATAGTTTGTGTTCATCCCCCTTTGTAAATTAAAGCTGATTCTCCCAGAATTATATGCTTCCTGATGTATGTAAACATTACTATTAACAGTAAAATTTATTTTATTTCAAACATTGTATTTTCATTTCTCATATGGGGTCCCCCCCCCCCCCATCAGACGAACTTGTAGAGACTCTGAGATACATCAGGAAGAATATATTTAAAAAAAATGACCCTGAGGAGGGGAATGCCCAACCCAGTTTTTACCCTGAATCTTTCCTTTCCAGAAATCTAAAGGCGGCTCTGATGTAATAAAATATTTTAAATTGAACGAATCAAATAAATTAACATGCAAAAATATCAAAACAGAAAATTAAACTCCAACGCTTTACTGTTCCAACGGTGAATTTATATTTATAAATACCTCGAGTTTTTGTTTTGTTTCCTGAAATTCCTTTGATAATTTTCTTTCTTTATAACGTTTCTTAAAAGAACATGGGTGAAAAGGGGGGGGGTGTCCATTATTCGACAAATTTAGATCTTAATCATAAAAATATTTTGTCATATTTCATTTAGGAATTAAATATCATTAATGTATACTTCATTCAAAATCCCCTTAATTTCCTACAATCTCATAAAGATATTAATACTTGAACACATCAACCAAAGGGGGCAAAAATTAAATTTTTAGAATTAGAATGTTTGTTAAAAAAAGAAAAAAAACTCTATCAATGATGTTTATATGTTTTTAAAGAGCTGGATATAAGGATAGATATAAAATTTCAATCTGTCGAATATTCAGCTTCTAACATGTCTAAGTCGAACTTTCCAACTGGAATAAATTCCTGTCTCGCAACTTAACGTTACAATATCTTTGTACGCATTAACTATAAACTGTACGTTGACTTTTGTAACAGTAGTTTTCATTGGATAATACCAAGAGTAAATGTTCATCGCCATATTTTGATTATTTCGGCGCAGATAAAAACGAACAAGATGAGTTCTCAGGAAAAACCAGAGGAGACGATAGAAGAAAACATAGACAAATCCACTGGAGATGATGTCTTTATCAAACCAGCTACCCCTGAGTTATCAGCTTCTGTTAGTAATGTTGATTACGTGATTGCGCCATGATTGCTTGTTTTTTGAATCTACATTGTCACTCAAGAAATCCAGTGATATATGCCTATAAACATCATTATAGTCATAGCAGAACCTTTTTATTTATGCAAGCAATCAGGGATTATTCTTGAGAGGTTTTCTCAAGTTTTCAATTTCCAGAAACATAATGTGTATCTAATGTAATTGCATATCATGATTCATGAAGCCTTCAACAATGTTCAAGGCTTTAGTATATTCAAAAAGTTTTAAAGGTGCAGCAACCACTTATATTGGTCGAATAAATCAAAACAATATGTTAGCTTTAATTATATTAGGCTAAATGATCATGCTAAAGTAAAACGAGGTTATATGAAATCTGATCTCTGTGCAGACAACCCAAAGATACCCACAAGGATCTTGGATAAACCATTCTACAGTTAAAATGATTTTGTACTACAGACACAGTTTCATGATAGAGTGTTTTCCATGTGTTGGCAGTGTAGCAAAGTAAATAAGGGCAGATAATTCTAATTTTGGGTATGCAATTAAAAATGAACGGCACTATTTACCTTGTGTTAAGTGCACACCTGCTCCTTCTCTGTATGCTTTTATGCCCCTGTAAGTGTAGATTCAGGGGCATATAGTTTTTGCCCTTCCAATCTGTCTTGCTGTCTGTCTGTCCACAAAAACTTTAACCTTGGCCATAACTTTTGAATGGTTGGTACTAGGTTTTCCATACTTCACACATGTATTCCTTGTGATAAGAACTTTCTTTGGGTACGAATATTTTTTACCTTTACCTTGGTTGTATGTTCGTTCGCCCTAAAATTTGTTCGCCCTTGACGCCTTTCGCCCTAATTCTTGTACGTCCAGATTTCGATCAAACTTGTTCGCACAGGGTCTGTTCGCCTTATTTATATTGCAGAAAGTTGAATAATGAACCACTGGATTTTTTTTTAATAAATTATTTTTATATGTACATTGGTACGTAAATTGCACACAGGAGACAACAGACGTATGCATGTGCTCACACTATAAATACCTGTCCTATCAAAGACCTGGCAGACCAACAGAAATTAATGTCTCAGTCATTTAATTGTTTTCAAAACATAACAGATTGTAAAAACACGGATATGATCCCCTGATTTACAGTGACGTTATTAAGTATAATGTAACCAATTAAGCATGTAAAAAGCATTAATTTCAAATTTGAATTATTTAATTAAGATTACAGTAAATAAGAAAAATACTGTAGCAACATTTGAAAAAAACACCAAGTCGTAAAATATTGAATAAAATTAATAATAAATGTTAATATTTACTATATACTGTAGTGTATATATATTAGGGCGAACGAGATATAGGGTGAACAAGAATAATGGCGAATGGACCCTGCGCAAACGGACTCATGCGAACAGGTAGATAGGGCAAACGAACCTGATACCCTTTACCTTGGAATTTGACCCACTTTACAAAAAGTTAAACCTTGGCCCTAACTTTTGAACAGTTAGTACTAGGGATTTCATGTTTCACATTTGTATTCTTTGTAAAAAGAGTTTCCTTTTGGTACCAACAATTTGACCTTCACCCTTGAGCCTGACTTACATTTGAAAAACTTTATCCTTGGCCAAAACTTTTTAACAGTTGGTGCTAGGGCTTTCATAATTTATAGGTGTATTCATTGTGACAAATTAGTCCCTTGGGTACTAACACCATGAACATTTTTACCCTTTGACCCTGACCTTGAAGTTTTATTCACTTTTTCAAAATTTTATTACCAGGTACACTTTAACCTTGGCATTAACTTTTAAACACTTGGTGCTAGGGCTTTCATATTTCACACATGTTTTCCTTGTGACAAGACCTTCCCTTGTGTGCCAACAATTTTGATTGTTTACCTTGACTTTTGAGTTTGACTTGCATTTGAAAAACTTCAACCTTTACCATGAGCTACCATACAAGGGCATCAGTGTTTTACAAATACATATTGTTTTCTTTGAGCACTGAAAAATTTACCAGTGTCCACTGAGAAAGGGAGCTGGGCGCATTTATTTTACCCCATTTCCTTCATTTAGCCTAACAGTTTCAATTCAATTTGGTTTCAAAGTCCTAGTCTTAGTCTAATTTAAAAAGAAAAAAACTTGGAGTAGTACTGTGCCATTATTTATTAAGACAATTCAAGTGTTATCTGACACAAACCAAGACAAGGGGGTAACTCAAACTCTACACACTAATGTTGTTAGTATGTCGTAATGTAAGATGTATAACAAACACTTCTGTCTAAATAAAATCTGATGTGAAGTAAAATTTGTACACCTGCTCTTGATTCAGTATGTCTCAAACATTTGGGTGGACTGAAATTTTGTACAATGTAAACCCACGATTGTGTCAGAAGAGAGAGAAAAGTGAAAATTACAACGTGCTGAATCAATCACTGTACAGTAGTTAAAGGCCTTCTACCATTAGATTTTTTTTAAAAATGAAGTATCACATCGGAAACATATCCTACACATTTCAATTATGAAAAAATGTTTGAAAATTGATTGTTTTGTAAAGATCATGGTGGGTGAGACATGAATCTGTCACACAATTGACAGGAATACATTTGTATTTGTAAAATTCAGTTGTCATTAATATGATACAGTATTAATATGTCTCATTGTAAACTGAGACATAATTGTATAAAAGCATAAGTTCAGTTGTGCTTACTTTGCACATTAAATTGAAATGTGGAACATTTTATCTTTTAGGAAAAAATGAAACAAGAAGAAGATAAATTAAGGAAAAAATATCCAAATATGAAGCCGGGAGTAGGAGGGTCTGCATTATTATCAAAAAGGCTTCAAAAGGTAAGCCTTTCCCTATGGTGCTGATTGCATGCATCAGAGAAGGGACATGTACATGTACTATATACCCAGAAAGCAGAATTTTTAGAATAACTGACTTACAGTGTAAAATATTGCATGTTCAAAACATTATACATAAAATGTACTGTTATGTGATTCAGTATAGATCAATATGTGGTTAAAATAAGGTCCCGAGTCAAGTGATATTGACTTGAAGACACGGGTTGATATCATTTGAGTTAACAAAGTTGATAACCACTTTCTTTGAGATCAATACCACTTGGGTCCTATTAACCACAAATTGACTATAGACTGAAGTCTTTCATAGTTACTGTAAATGAACTATTATTCAGGACATCTTTTATTCAGGATCCATCAGTCTGTAACCTATAATTCTCATCACTGAGGAAACACATAATTATAAATTATATCAGTAACACATTGATTCATCATGAGAAATATTCCAGAATTAAAGAAGGCCAGAAACTCTGGAGTAGGTCTGTGACCAAAAAACTATAAGGTCTATCTGAACCAAACTTGCATGGATGATGCATCAAGAGATGCACACTACCAGAGTTGCTTCAGATGCTGGATATGACCTATATCTTCCAGATGAGTTACCAGGTTAATTAGGGCCCCGCAAGGATTTGCGGGTGCCCTATAGTAATCACTCTGTCTGTCTGTCATTCTTCCGTCCACAAATTTTCTGTTTTTTTCCAATAACTTTTTTTGTAGTTGACCAATTAAGTTCAAATTTTGTATGTTGCTTGAAGAGGCAGTAAGACATATTTTGATGCCAAGTTTGGTTCTCTTTGTCATTCACTTTGAAGCTGGGGTGGTGGGGTAGATTCCTTAACTTTACATTAGAATGAATGCCAGGGCAAAGAGAGATAGCTGCTGAGAATGTTCCTTTTGTAAACTGTGAGAGCTGCAACTAGTCCCATGGGATTAATTAACTTTCCTCTTGAAGAAAATCCAAAGCATTATCTGTTTCTGTCAAATTGAGATTAATTAACACCTCTGTCTGCAAATGAAGTTTGTTTTGAAGTTAAGGTCAATTCTGAATGATTTACATTCTCTGAAATGTGGATTTAAATAATGGTTAAATAATGGTATTTTGGTAAAATACACAATGAGTTATGATTTTATTAAATTCTGAAAAAAGAAATACATAAAGATATGTTTTTTATTACAATTTTTTTGTTTTTATTTATTTAATATTTTATTTATTTATTTATTTATTTTGTTTTTTGCTGCCTTATGTAAATTCAAGAATACTATTAATTTCAACAGGTAGTCCAATAATAAACTCATTCTATCATTACTGAAAAGGTTCTTATTGTAAACTTGGAAGAAAAGGATGTGAGAGCAGTACAATTAATCCCCTGGGATTAATTATCTTGTCTGGGGCAGAGAATTTTCCAGGCTTATCTTTATTTGTCACTTTAAGATCAATTAACCTTTGTCTGCAACTGATGTTTGTTTTGAAGTTAAGGTCAAGCCTGGGTGATATTTGCATTCACTGAAGGCTGGCATTTTATAAAACACATGCTTTATTCTTGTTTAAATATACATTTAATTGAGTTATTATAGATATGATGTTTTTTACTGCCTTATGTAAATACAGGGATACTCTTTACAGGTTGTTGGATATTTATGAATCATCTTGAAATTTTATAAATACAGTTGTTATTGCATATTCTTCTTCATATATTTTTAAATTTTTGTAATCAATTAAAATTCTCATTCTGTAAGCTGCACCCTTATATTTCTACCCCTCGGCGGGGCCCTTGCTGACTGGTCAGTTTTCTAGTTTTTTTCCAAGCAGGTCCATTACCAAGAAACTATAAGGCCTTAGTGAACCAAACTTGCATGAATGATACATCAAGGGATGAACACTCACAAACTTGCTTCAGATGCTGCATTTGACTTATTTTCAGAATAAGTTTAAGGAACTCTATCAGACCAAAATTCCATAAATGTTGCACCTAGAGATGCACACTACTAGATTATTAGTTTAGTGTGGGACTTTGCCTAACTTAAAAACAGTATTTATTGAGGTATCTCTGATTATTACGTATGTTTTGTAATCTATTTCCCTTAAATAAAAAAAATAGAATGACATCCTCAAAAATGCAATTTTAAGATTAACCTTAACCCACTGTATACCAAAGAAAATATATAGGCCTACATGTACATTTACACTTTCAGTTGTTGATTTTTTTATTATTATTTTTTTTTATATCTGTATCAACTTGATAAAGGAATCTTCTATATTTTTTTTTTAGTCTATTTTGTCATTATTTTAATGGGGAGGGGGTGTTCAATTGTTCAGTATTATGATGAATTGAGTTTTTGGGTACACAACCAATAAATCAAGTGGCACATTAAAGAGTTTGAAGAGTGGTCAGGTATCAAAACATTCAATCTCAGAGGTAGCTGGCCTGTCAATCAAATCCATAGCTATTGTTTCTAGCATGATTGACAAGTGGAAAAGTATTGATCTCAACATTGGTAGGTAGATATACTGCAAATGGGGTTATAATTACAACTATTTTGACATGCATTGCATTTCTTCCTTTACTGATAGGGTTTGGTTGAGTTAATAAGTTTTATATTGTTTGTTGACATATGCACATAAAAATTTTGGGGAGCAACAAAGCTATGCTTGGTCAAATTGAAATGCCGACATCAGTATATATACTGAAGATTAATTTTTCAAGATGGTGACTTTTGACTAAGGGTAATCCACAGTAAGAGGCTTTTTTATATAAAAAGTAGTAACTCATTGTGACACAGGTAGGTATTATGGCCCTTTGGTCTTTTATTTATTGATACAAGAGCATGATTTATATATGTGTATTTTATTTTTTTTTTTTTTTTTTTTTTTTTTTTACAGAATAAGTACTTTGATTCAGGAGAGTACAACATGACGAAAGCCAAGATGAGGGGTTCTAAACTACCACCTGCTGCCCAGGAGAATATGATTTTACAGGAACCACCAGGTGATGCCATTCCAACCCCAGAGGCCATAGCTACAATTAGGAAACCATCACTTCAACAAAGCAAACTGGCAGAGCATTCATGAACAGATCCCATATAATGATATTTTTGTTATGCAGATAGTGCTCTTTTCACCTTTGACATAAAAAGGTGGCAGTCCCAACACCTCATTTTGGAAAAAAGTAATTCCACAAAAAATAATTTTAGATTCAAAGTAAAATCGTTAAAGTCCACATCTCTTGGATTTTTTTCTGGAGAATTCTCTGGTCTTTAGTTTCAATTAAGAAAATGGGAAAAGTATATTTTAAATGTATTTTTTCATTTTGTCTGTGATGTATACTTCATTTGGCCGAGTGTGTGTGTGTGTATGTGAAATTGTTCTATCTGAATGATCATCGTGTGACTATGTGTTTGACGTCGTTGATTATGTTTAATCACTAGAGTTATATCTCCTTGGAATGTTGACATATTTTTCAGAATGATGTTTAAGCATTTCCATTGTTGCACATAAATTATGTTTATTATGTTATATATGTAACTGAGTCCTGAAGTTGATGATGGAAGAAAGTGGGGAGGATGTACATGGCTGTGCTTTGTTTTCCATATTGCCTCATGATTAGTGTACTACAAGGCATGATTTCTTCTGTTCTGTGGTCCCTGTAGGATAAGGCATTGTACTATATTACTTTAGTTTTGACAAATATTGTGTACATTTTGATAATGCAGAAATGATTTAAATGATGAGGAAATAAAATTCTGGTGAGCAATATTTATAGATAAATTCAGTAGAATAACTGTGCAATAGAATATCTATTATAAGGAAAAGTCTCTAAATTTTAATGCATTTTTTCTGGTTTTTGTATACATGTATATAAAACTAAAAGAATTGACATATAGTAAAAAAAATTTGTAAGCTCTTGTTAATTTGGAAAATTTCACATCATGAAACATTAATGGATTCATGAATGAATGTTTCTGGGTCATTTGCAATAGGAAAGGCAAAATCTATCCTGTCAAGTCCAGATCTTGTGATTTTGTGTTTGGGAGTACTAGCAGTGTATTACAGTCTGTATATAGATATTACCTTTTTTTTAAAAAAAATATGATCACCTCACTTCTTTATTGTTATAGATTTGTTTAAAGATCAAGAATAAATCATAGTTATGTAATAAGTGATGTGCTTTTTTTATCAGCTCGCCTGAGCAAAAGGCTTAAGGTAGTTTGAGAAACCTTACAAGAAAATAAGTAATGTATTTATTTCCAATTTCGTGCCCAGAGGGCATACAAGGACACAAGTAACAAAATAGAGAGTGAAAATTAGGAGAAATTAATATTTGACAATTTTATTCAGTTTCCTTTATCAAGTCCCAAACATTCACGCAAATAGCCCATTTTGCGTTGAGCATCGTTTTCAACACGATACAGACTAAAACTTGACTAATGAAATCCTTTATAATAAATATAAAGCATATATATACAATTATGCATAAAGCAAACAAACCCTCGGATGCAATAATGTGAAGGTCTGAAGGGTTCGATCGCCGGTAGCCAGATAGCTCAGTTGGTAGAGCAGATGACTGGAGATTCCAGTGGCTCGGATTCGAATCCCGGTCCAGATGGAGCGTGACAATGTGCCCCCCCCCCCCCTCTTCGTTTATAAGTAGAGATATGATATTTTATTAGGAGGGGTTGGCTCTGGTGGAAGTTGCACCTCTATAACTATTACACACGAAGAGTAGGATTTCTTCCCGGAAAATTTAATCTGGTGTTTCCATAGGGGAAATCCTACTCTAGAGTCATTTTTTGGAGGGGAAAATCTACTCTAGAGCCTATTTTCGTAGGGGAAATCCTGCTTTAGAGCCAGTTTTCTGGAGGGGGGATTTTAGAGGAGAAAGCCTTCTCTACGAAACGGGTCCTGTGTAGTTCTCGGGGAAAGCTGGCTAAGGGGAAATCCTACTCTACAGCACCGGTACTTCTTACATAAACAAACGAATCAAAATAAAAATAGGCAAAATACCGTATTCTTACAAAAATAAATGGATCAATATAAAAATGGACAGAATACCTGGTATACTTATTAAAGAAATAAAATCAGGATCGGAAGAACATGAAACATATATAAATGCATGATTACTCAGCATGTTTCACTATTCACTGAACAAGTGGCATGAGCTTAATCATGTTAATCATGCAATTTTCCAGTTTCTACACCAAAATTCTCGTTGAACAGACTAATGAATTAAGGCATAATGTTCTTGGAAAGTTATATTCATTCAAAGCATTATTAAATTCGTATGCAACCAAAATTAGATATTCAGCTCAACAGTATCATACAAAAAGGTTATAAAAAATTATTTAGTATTTTGCTATAGTAAATTTTCATTTGGATGCTGGTTAACCCACCCCCACCCCCCACAAACTTTTTATTGCTGTAAGATCGAGGCCCGGCAAATTTCCGGATTTGGGCAAGTAAGGAGGTTTGTGTGTGTGTGTGTGTGATTATTTTGGGAAAATAGAACGTTGAAGGTAGAAAGTGCCCCCACCCTTTTGGACATTTGGGGGCGGGGGGGGGATCCCCTACTACCCAAACTCCGTCACCATAAGCGGAAAACAAGCCAGGTTACTCTCTCCCAATTATTGTTTTGATTTGTTTCTTGTTTGCTACACTTTGTAATGAACTTAAACATTGTTTTCAAAATTATTTTAAAAAAAATCAGTATTTGGGCTTATACAAAACTACTATAAATAGAACGCGTATCACATCCGTGTACATTACGTCCAGTGGACCCTAACTCCGTCACCAGGGCCCTCTACGTATTAATTAAATTTTTTCCAGTTTAGTTTTTTCTCCCTTCATCTTAAACTTGTAAACATAGAAAATTAGTTTTGACGATTTAAAATAGTATTAAATTGTATTTTAGGAAAGGTATCAACAACAGAAAAAAAAATAACGTTAATATAACGTATTTTATATGTAATAAAGTCACTGTACGTTATCTTCAACGTGTAGCACATTAGGGCAAATTGAGACAAAAAATAAAAAATATTTTTAGCCGTATTCAATATGGTTTGTCATATTAATCCTTTGGCAAAGACCTTCATAAATATAACTGACATGTAAAAATGAGCATATTGACGCACATGTCGGGGGTATCGATGGAATATCGCATAAAGGAAAAAGTACTTACTGATTTCACATAAAATATGATATATACAATAGCTAGACCACGTGTAATTGTTATTTATTTTTGACGCATTCTTGAACTTGACTGTTATAGTATCTCGGCATTTGATTGTAGATTTTCAGCATGTAAAAAATGACATCACAATCGCACTGTTTACAAACAGCGCGGAGTTTCCCGAGAGTGACGGAATTGGTGTAGTGACGGAGTAAGGGGGTTCGGCGATACACCCCCCCCCCCCCTGAAACAGTTACTACGGGCTTGCTAAAAAAGTTTTTTTATTAAAATATATATTTTTCAGTTGGAATACTTTGAGTATTTCACATAAAAATAAAATATTTTAAAATAAAAAAAAAAAAAGTCGAAAAACCCTTGGGGTTTGGCAGGAGCTAGAGGGGGAGGGGGTCCTATCCTCAAAGCACCTGTTGTTTAATATGTTTAGTATCTGATGAATCTAAATTATTGTTAACTATTGTTTGCAACTGAAATTTACAAATAAAATATGCCTTTAGCATTTATTAAACGTTTTATCTGAGCAACTTGGGTCGAGTTAATGTTTTTTTTATTGCAAAATCACGTGATATTAAAAATGGCCGACGAACGAGAACCACCCCCATTTGGTGAAGATGAAAACCAAAAAGACGAGGATGACTTGTTTGCCGAGGCCAGCGAGGTATAAGTAAAACGTGTTTTTAAAAAGATTTTATAGAATGCAGTCAATGATTGTGTAACAATCTCCAATAGCCTAACTCATATTTCGTTTTTATTGCCGGTTTCTGAACAGGTCTAAATTAGCTCCCATAACTACATTGTAAGATTTCACAGTTACTAATTCTATGGCACATAATCCACCACATTCTGTTTATTGTATAACAATCAGATATTTGCAACATGTTGAAGGACATGTTTGTTTACCTAATTACATGCAGGAAACCAGATCAGATCTGACACTTAGAATACACCTTGGTAAATACTAAATACTTCTGTACAAATTGGTGATAGTATAGTTAGAATAATCTAATTGTGTCTCGGGGATAAGCTATCACCACAGTTTGAAACGATTTTAAAGAATACAAAAGGAGTTTCTACTTCTACCAGTCTGCAGCCACCATCAATCACTGACCATACTGCCACTTCGGTGCTCACCCCAATTTAAAAATAAAATTTAGTGCTTTACAGTTCCAAAGGTGGAAGTAAAAACAGCCTGATTAATTTAATCAAGCAAACGAGCCCTGAAGACTTCAAGGTTCTGAGATGTTGCTACATCAGTGGGCAGAGCGTTCCAATCTCTGATGGACCTGGGATAGAATGATTCTTTCCGAACTTCGTTGATACTGGATGGTACTTGGAAGGAATGTACTCCCATTTTATGGCTAAGTCTTGACAGTGGTGGTCTAGTGATGACACTAGTTTATCAGTTGTTTCGATTTTAACTAGCCCATTTTTTGATCTTGTACATGAGGATTAGTCTGGCTCTCTTTCTTCTCTCCTCCAGAGTTTGCCAGTTTAGGGTGTTCATCACATCTGTGACCCATGAGGTGTTGTGATATGTTCAAGTTATGTTTTAGGAAGCTAATGGTATTGCTAGCTTTCTTGCAGATGTTGGATATATGTAGGTTCCTTTTTATATCTGACGTAATTGACACACCTAGATATTTTGCTGTTGATATATGTTCAAGTTGATGACCGTGAAGGATATCCATTCCGTTCCTCAGCCAGGAAGGATTACTACTCTTAAAATTATTATTTAATTTAAAAAGTCTCAAAATTAAGTTTGAAATTGAAATCCTTCGTGCAACAATTTTCATTTTGTGCATCTCAATATGATTCAAGGTTCTTTGAAGTCTTAGTTAGAAACAATCTTGTAAAAAGTTGATATTTGTACCCCATAAAAGTGCAAAAATAAATACATAAATATGTTAAACTTGTGCAGTTTCTGTTCATTATATAAACGTAAAATTGATAATTTTATGGCAAATTATTGCGGGTATATTTAGGAATGCAGCTTGGATAGATAAAACTTTTAATTTATATATTGCATAAAAACTGTTAAAATAAAGGTTTTTGTTGAGTTTTTTTTTTGGGGGGGGGGGGGAGAATATACTCAATTGGAACTCAACATAAGTTTATGGGACCCATCAAATATAGCTTGGACTCAGCCTTCTCAAACACTTTCAGTCCTGGAACTTGAGTTTAAAAAAACCTTGTGAGAACCCTGAAGCAGTTTAAAAAAGAAGAGAGAATCCTGTAGCATACAACAATTTACTACTTTTCTAATTCTGTTATTAAATTACAATTATTTTTGTAATCAAAGTTATTTAATTTGAACAGTAATAATTTTGTAATAGTAGGTACATATGACGAATGTTTTATGTATGTGTAGCATTTGAGAACAGAATAAACTAGATGCTGTCATGAGACAGTAATACCCGCACTAAGGTGTTTGCCTCTAAATGCACACTCCTTCATATTGGGCTTACCGAGGAAAAAGTCCAAATAATTCTATAATTTACACAGTACATGTATTCGTCAAATCGAGCATAAAATGCTCAGGTGACCATGTGACCCATGAACCTCTTATACGCATTTCATATACTTAATTCATTACCAGTCTGAAATATCAGAATTTAATTAATGTTGTAAATTAGGTTTTAATAAAAAGGGGGGGGGATATAAATTTTTGGCCCATAATTGGAACTTTTTAAATTAAATTTATCTTCTCAACAACAAATAATATTATTTTAGTACAAAGCGTTTTTGATGAATTTATCAAAATGTGCAAACTTTTTTTAGTATACCAAATACACACACACACAATTTGCCTGTTTTTGGAAATAGGCCTAGATGGCAAAGTTATGTTAAAACATCGTTTGTTATGATAATTTAAAATTTGTTCTTGTACTGTACATGTATGTGAACACCTTTTTGAAAATTTCTACATCACATTGGGCTTGCGTAACCCTACCAGTACTAGTACTAGTTTTACCATTATCATTTTTAGATTGCACATGCCATGTGACATGGTGCAGTGTTACATGTATATCAGTGGAAATTAATTCATTTTGTGTTTTAATTGGATTATATTTCATGAAGTTGACAGGACCTATGACAGTCGGTAAGTACAAGTTTAAGTATAGATTGGGGTAAAATAAACCAAAATGCAAATGGTTAGGTTAAAGTTTAAAAAGGATCAAAGATCATCGGCAATCTCCTATGCAGAGTTGTCGTTCGTTTCTCTCTCAGACACTGAATGTATGAGCCGATCGTAGAGAGTGGATCATCGATGCCACAATAGACGAATTTCACATTCTGAAGAGTTATCTCCCGTTGTCGACATTACATTCAGTTACAGGCATAGATCCGGGAATTTTTTTCCGGGGGGGAGGGGGGTCCACACCTCGGTCCAAAAAAATTCCAGCCCAGAATTTCCTGAGGAGCAAAATAAAAAAAAAAACAAACAAACAAACAAAATAAAAACAATGATGGTGGGGTCCATGTTTTTAAAGGGGGAGGGCATCCAAAGTCATTTTTTATTTGCTTCTGTAAATCAGTATATAGTCCTATTTAAATAACTCTGCAAATTCCAGGGGGGGGGGGGGTCCAATCTCCCTAGCCGCTCCCTGTCCCTGAAATGACAAATGATCATGCGACTCCTAAATAGTAGAAAATTTTTCCATTTGACTAGACATAATTTTGTTTCTTGTGTTATTATGTTATGTACATCTAATGGTTTAAGGTTATGAACCCTTGAGGTCATCCCCACTCTCTTGTTCATAATATGACTACATCAAATTAAATAGAAGTGCATCAATGATAAGATTACTTGACATTTCATTCATGAATTTGGGTCAACCTAGAATTAGGAATGAAAATCATTCAAAGAGATGGACCATTAAACTATTTGTATGTATTCACAT